TAAGAGAAGAAACAATGGCATCCAGATACCCTGAATCCTACTTGAATGCCTTACTCGTAACTACACACTGCCTGCAGTGTGACTGTAGGTTACCCTTTGAATTAGTATTCTATAGTTTTAAATCCCAAGCATTCCTCTTCAGGGACTTCAATTAACAAAGCTGCTGCTCCTTACGTTCATTTTCTTAAATGGAGCCTGTTTTTTATTTTTGACAAGCTGCATAGCTGCATGAACACACCACAGCACTTAAAATAAAAGTACCCATATCAGATTAACATAAGGCGCAATCTAAGAGAATATGTGCTGAGTTTTTCTGGTGCACTGGGAGCATATTTCACTTCCAGCAGAAACAGAAAGGGGAGAGTGCTCAGGGTTTTGCAGAATGACGCCACCACATACTTGAATTTATGACACGTATTGTATATAGCACTGACGGCAAAGAATATCGGTCACACGTTGAGACCATACTCAGTGACCTGGAATATCACCACATACTCTTTGGCACCTAAATAACCAGAACATCACTAGCTTTATTTGCATTTCTTATCAGCAGCTCACAAGCATATAGGGACATACCTGAAAAACATTGAGATATACGGGCATATTCATATATTTTTAAACATAAAACCAAAACAAACAAAAAAAAACAACCAGCTGTTCAAGGTACAATAAAAGAGGAGCAGCCGCCCTCCATCACCATAGGCAGCCCCTTCCTCACTGGCCTCCCTTCTCAGCCCGTGCTCACCGGGCTCCTTGTCTGCCAGCCGGGGCTGGCCACGACAGGGACTCCCTGCCCTGTGACACCACCACCGCCAGCACTCTGCCTGCTGTGACATGGCCACGATGTCACCAGGCCTGGCGCCCAGGATTATTCTTTCATCACATGATGACATGGCTTTTCTGCCCTATCATGAGAAGAAACAATTAAATAACTGAAATGAAACAAAATACACAGCATCAGTTGGTAATGCTGGAGAGGGAAACGATGTATCTGCGGGATCAATTTAAGTGTAAAAGAGCATTAAAAGCAGCAGGTACTTCCCACTAGGTACTTCCCATTTTAAAGATGTGTGGTACTTGCTGCTGAGATATGTGGATTTGAGGGCTAAATTCTGCAAGAAAAATGCTCATTGAGTTGCCTGAAAGTGATATTTCACACCTTTGACATTAAAAACACGTCAACGCCCAACTCTGTGTGAGTGGCTGGCCATACTGAAGGTATCTCATTAAGACTTGCATATTTCTTTCCCTGAAACAAACCAAAGATTTTGTTGAGGGCTGTCTTGTGCTGTGCATGTCAGTTGGACACCAGCATGAAACAGAAATGAGCTTCCACATATTTCCTTCACTGCAGACTATTGCATCCTCTTTAATTGATAGGACAAGAAGCCCTGGGCACAACCAGCCCCCAGGAGGTTCCCCCTGAGCCCCAGGAGGTCTGTGCTGTGTGGGTGAGGAGCCCTGGCACAGGCTGCCCAGAGAGGCTGTGGGGTCTCCTCCTTGGGGATCTCCAAAAGCCGCCTGGAGATGGGCCTGGGCAGCCTGCGCTGGGTGGCCCTGCTGGGGCAGGGCTGGGGCCTGGTGGCCTCCAGAGGGCCCTGACAGCCTCAGCCCCTCTGTGGTGCTGTGATTCAGATGTTTCCTCTTTTAGTGTCTGAACAAATCAGAAAGCTACAGGCACACAGGATTTTTTGAATGGAGCAGTGGGATTTTAATTTATTAAGTTAAATTTAATTTAGTGTCACACTCTGAAATCCCCATGTGGGTCTACAGGCTACATGGCCAAGTCAGACTGTGGCCTCAGGTACAAAACCCCAGTGACAATTAGCGAATGTCAGCTGTAAAACCAGTGTGGGCTAATGAGTACTGCAGTGGGGTGATAGCACATCACCTGCAGCTGCTGAGGAACTGGCTCATGAGAAGAGAAAAGCTTGCCTGGGAAGAGGTTTATATGTTAGATAATTTCCTCTTAGTAAGTTTTCCTATAATATTTCTCTATCAAGATTTCAGAACAGATCAGGTGATCCATGACCCAGTTTTAAACAGGAAAGTTACCCCACATGTCATGTTGACAAGAGCACGGATGGTCATCTGCTTTTAGATAATACTCATGAAAAGCAGAGATGATTAAATTAATCATTAGTTCTTAGGTTGTTGGGGTTTTGTTTGTTTGTTTGTCTGTTTTGCTTTTATTTATTTATTTATTTGGGGGGAGGGTGAATTTATGTTTGAGCAGCTGGCTTTGTTGTGTTAGACGTTTTCTGCAATAGTAGTAGTTTCTCTGGTGACCTCTACTCAAATGCTCCACAGAACAGTGGCAATGTGTTTTTAAAACCATTCCGTATGATAAGGCTGTGCTGAGAATTTACAAACCTGAGTGTACATGTGTCCAAAATATTGGATGTTTTTATGGAGAAAGACATTCAGAACAATGGAGTCTGTAATACAGAGAACGGCGAGCAGTTTTTAAGTTTTTTGCTTAAAAATGATTGCATTTTTACAAGCTGGTGGCCTACTTCAAATTTGAGTGGATATGAGTCTCATACCTAAGTGATCTAGAAATCTTGGAGGCTGAAGTGTATAAAATCCATTTAAAAAAAAAAAAAAAAAGAGAGCCTGAGGTGTCTGATATTTGAGGAAAGACTGGCTTTCCAGACTTTCCAAAATGGAAAACTTTCAGAAAACATCCCCATGTCAACAGTTAAGCCTCCCAGAGGCTGTCCTGTTCCCCTCAAAGCAGCGAGGAGGGCTATGTAAGAAAACATCACTTCATGTGAGGAGCTCCTTGCCTGCAGTCCCAGACTCTGCCCTTCCACAGCCCCGAGGGCTGGGAAAACAGCATCCTGGCTTTTGCCCACCTTCTGTTTTCTCTGATTGGTTATTGTTGCCAGAGACATCCGTCCCCATAGTTTTCTACTTTTTTTTTCTTGTGACAATGGAAGTGAAAGCTTCATGCATGCCATGAGTAAGGGGAGCATGTCTATAGCTGGCAGCGCTATAGCATGGCTGTATGGAGCCCAAGAAACCAGCAGCAAAGCCAAGAAGTCCTTCAAACATGTTAGATGCATCAAATCTGCTGTGAACACACACATCATCTGGGCTCCTACAATCACTCCTTATGCGTCAAGCATGTGTGTGTCCAACCAGACATTTTATATTTGTCCAGAATATCTAGCCAGGCAAAAGTGAGGGCCACCAGGAGCTCAAAGAGTGCAGAAGCTCAGAGTACATCATCGGGGCTCTGGCCAAAGCTGCAGGGAGGTCTCCACCAGTGGGACCAGTGAAGTGATTTTGTAGAGCTGAAAACTGTAGGCTTGGGGAAAAAAAAATAATAAAAAAATAAAAAGCTGACAGTAAGGCCAGGCATAGGAGAATGAATGTGAGAAAAATTTCCCCTGATTTAACATGATTCTAAATATTTTAATAAGGAGAGCCTCTACACTACTTTATGCAGCTCAAATTACCTAGAGATCTGAGACTGTGCTCTACTGTAATTAAGGTCTGTTAGGATTCCCACTGAAATGATTTTGCTAATGTTTATGTTATAAAGGCACTGTGCCAGTAATGTGAGAATAACAGGAGTATCCTGTCATCATAGCAAAGTCCCCTCATCATAGCAAAAACTGAAGGGAGTTCCGCAATTGGGCCTGAGTTTGTGGTTCAAAAACAAATAGTTCTGCTTTTCTGTTCAGCTACATTTTATAATTTGTTCAGTAAAATTCTCCAGCCCTAGCCTGGACTTCTTGTTCAAACTCAAAGTCATATGTAGAGTTTATATAAGGAAAGGTTATCATGCTATTCATTGTTTTGGTATTGACCAAATTGACTTTAATCTCATTTGAGTTTTAATTGTTTTTATTACAATTTAGCATTATATGTTTTGGTGACATCTTTTCTTGATTTAATTTCATTGTGTTTTGACCTTTATATACAGTTTTCTACATCAGGAATGCATAATAAGTCTCATTTCTCTCAATAGGTTACATGTGTTAAACGAGTACGGAAAGGCTGAAGGGCTCGGGCAGACACCACTCTACCAAACCAACCAAAAAAAAAAAAATGTTTTGTGTTGATAAGTTTATAATTCCTGCATCAGCATCCGAAGTGGAAGCAAGAGTCACCTTCTGAGGACACTGCTTCTGGACTAACACAGGCTGACACAGAGTGGTACTGAGGAGCAGGCAGCTACCATAAGCAGCAGAACTGCAAAGGTGAAGACAGGAAATCCCCACACTGGTTTTGTTTAAGCTATTTTCTATAATCTGTTGTAAAACGCATGTTACTCAAAAAGAGACTGAGAAAATCAGTTATTTTTTATTCTTTAACTGCAAAATTATGCATCTTAAAATGACAATAGAAATGCAGTAATCCAGTTTAATTGCCAAATCAATTGGGATTTAAATATTAGCCATGTGCTGTTTCATTTGGTCCACTTTTTTTCCAAATTGAAAGGGATCAGTTTTTTAAAAATTTTAAAATCCTCTCATACCTCTCACTTCCTGCAACCACTGTGTAAGATGTTTTGGATTGCAGTGAAAACCTGTGTATTTTTAAAGCTGAGAAGCTGACTACTTACATACTGATTGCTGATGAAGGTACTGATGACTGACTAATGTCCATCACTTGAACATTTGAGACGTATCACTATGATTTACTATCAAATTGCTTTGATTTTCTTGACTGTCTTCTGGCAGCACAAACTGAGACAGAGAGCATTTAGCAAAGCCACGTAGTTTGGTGTTGATGCTAGTATTACTTTCATCATGAGTCAGTTGGAGGCATCGCTAATTAAGTCAGGAAAGATGTTAAATGCTTTCTGCTTGAGCATGTCATGGGGCAGAAGGGATTGTGGTCAAGGCAGGAAAACTGAGTCCTGCAAAATCCAAGGGTGGTACTCAGATCACAGGGAACTCTAATTTGGGTGACGTAGGAAAGGAAAACAGGTCTTGCAATACAAACACAGATAATTTTAATTACTTTAATTGTTTTTACAGGAGCTGTTTAAAGAGATCCACCATTTTTTTTCAGGTCTCCCGCAGGACAAAGATAAGTTAACCAAGTAAATAGACACAAGGCATCTTAGATCCCAGACAAAACATTTAAGCAAACTGACCCATTTGACTTCCTTGCAGGGTAACTGCCAGGCTTCCCCAGGGGAAGAGGGATGACACTGAGCAATCCCTAGGAAGTCAGTAAAACCAAAGTATGTAAAAGTGTTGATTTAGATTATCATTATACATTTATATTATCATTTTACAAAGCCTTTTTGTCAGTTCCATAAGGTGAGATACATCAAAACCAAGGTACTTGTGGATGGAGAGGGTTGAAGATGTGAATTAGAGAAAAAAAGAGCCATAAGAAGAGCAACAAACAAAATAGATCAAGAATAAGGGAACAGAGGTTCAAGTTTCCCAAAGCACCGGGCATGACCGGACAGACTGATACCCTTGACGACCGTCAGTAAGATGCCAGGGAGCTGGACAGGTGGAAGGCACCCGTGTTCTCCTGCCCTGCTCTGCGTAATCGGGAGGTGTCTCTCAGAAGATGGCTTCAGCCAGAACTTCAAAGGAGGTCCTCAGGGCTTATCAAGCAACAGTCTACAATGGCTGAGTTATGCAAGAGGTGAGGTGATACCACAGCTAAGAAACTCCTTTAGTTCAAGTCACAGACTATGAGTTTGGGTAAAATCCATATAGAAGCCTTTTCACCAAGACAAAGTAGATAAAACCCCCAAATAGCTGAAATGTAAAGGGACTGTTCAGCTGTCTAGAGTTGCTTGGTTCAGAGGCAGGCATAATTTTTTGTGGCAGAGATGTTACTTGAGTCAGTCCCAGTACCCAAGAGGACACCTCCCTCTTGGTCTAACAGGGAGACCAAGCAGAGATACATCCCTGTGATGCTGGTGTTATGCTTACCTTGGGGAGATGAGGAGAATATGTACACCTATTGTACCCTAACCCTTACAAGACAAAACCCACTAATGTGTTTCTCTTCTTTCAGTGAGTACAGGTGGGAGAGCCTGGACCTCATACCAGTGAGTCAGCCCAGACGTAGGCGCCTATCCTGCACATCCCTCACAGTGACTTTTGACAGAAATGAAAGCCAAGAGCACAGAAAAACATCAGTTACGAGGTGCCAGGCCCCTGAGGGCACCCACAGATCTCACTGTCTCTGCCCAGCCCCTCAGGGCTCCCCGCACCCTGCCCAGGACCCCAATACGGCCTAGCCCAGGGCTGTCTGCGGGGAAGGTCAGGATCAAAGGCATCCTGCTTGAAAAACAGGTCACAACTCAGACGGAGGTAGCTGTGGCAACAACTTCCAAGACTTAAAATACTTGAAAATTTTGTAAAACTTTCTGTTTTACCAGTAGTCTTACAGTATTTTCAGGAGGTGTGTCTTAACAGCAGGTTGAAGGGGAAATCGCACACACACCAAAAAAAGAATAAGAACATTAAAACCACAAAATATGGCAATTTGTAAAAACAAGATGTAAAACAGGGGCTTCCCTCCACTTCACCCCAGTATCAAAACAAATGTGAAAAGCCCACAGTAGCCCCCTGCCTTGGTAGCAGGTGGGACAGGGAGCCTTGGAGGCTGGGTGGCTGCGCCGTCCAGCTGGAGGATCAAGAAAACCGCTCTAGGCAAGAGGACTGAAGACAGCGAAGGCAGGATAAAAGCAAAGTTAACAAAAAAATGTAGTAAAGACTTGGAGAAAATTTCTTGCATGCAGAGCAGAGGTATGGGGAACTTTAATATCTGCTCAGCTGGTGAATGTTGTGGAGGGCAAGCTGGAGCAGCCTGATTTGACCCATTCAGTCCTGCTGCCAGTAATACCTACGTGGTCCTCTCCGTACACCCAAGCCCAGCAGCTAATACAGGATGCAGGAAGCCTGCCTGGGCAGAGAATAGTATATATCACCCAAAGGCGATAGGCAGAACGGGCAGAAATTTCTCCTGCGCAAAGAACAAAAGGAACATTGCAGAAACTGTGCTGAGAACAGCTTGAAGCTTTCAGGCTGAATTTATATGCTTTGTGCTTGAGCTGAATGGTTCACGTTAATTTCCACAGAAGCTCTGCAACTGCATGTGATTTTTGTTGTTGTTGTGCAGCTAGAACATTAGTTATCTCTCATTTGTAAAGCAGCTACCATATCCTGTAATGACCTTTTACCGTGTGGTTTTCTTATGTTCAACCACTTGTCCCCATTACTTTTTTTCTTTTTTTTTTTTTTTTTTCCTGCCAGAGTGCTGATACCTCAGGCATCCTTTACTTCTTACTCCCACCTGAGCTCAGTCCTGACAACGCAGTGTGCAGTTACCAGCTGCCTGTCCTGGGACTGTGGAACTGCTGTATCCTGTTCTCATTCTGCAGTGTCACAAAGCAAATACCTCCTGCCTCTGAGAACTACAAATGTGTGAGACTGAGCGTGATGCAGGAGGAAAATATTCGTGACAGCTGATGTGCATGTTAATGCAATTGTTTGTTGCAGCGATTCTCAGACATCTGTGAGTCTGCACGCATCTAGATGTGTGTGAGGTCTACGAGGAAATCTTCTCTTGTCCTCACAGACAAATAACATGTTTTTTCATAGAATAAACTGTACTATATATAAAACTTATTTTAAACTTTTAAGCAGGAAGACTTTATTTGATAAGTATTGATTTCTAGTAGCTTATGATAAGCTAAGTTGAGCGCAGCTTCAGGTGGATGTGCCAAGGACTTCTGCCCAGGAGCAAATGAAATGAAATGGTAACACTGGAAACCTAGGCAGGGCTGTCCTGCAATGCCTGAGGAAGTGCGCTGAGCTAGCGTGCAAGTTCTTTGTTGGCAGAGGTTACAGTCAAATCAATATGGTTTTCACCTAGTGTTTTAAGCACACAGATGCATTACTAAATAAATTGTGTGTTTCAGCCACGTAGTTATGCTATGATGCCCAAACTTTGTACAGCTTGCAGTGAAAGCCCAAAGAAGTAGCAGCGAGTTTTAAATGTTGCATTCATCAGGCAGCTGGGGAAAAAAAAAAGAAAAGAAAAAAAAAACAAAACACCAGACTCCTGACTGCCCTTCAAATTGGGAAACCCCAGTCAGCACAACAAAACCAGGAGAGACTTCCTCAGGAACAGCCCGCAATGACAGCCAGGAAACTAGCTTGGTCTTCATAGGTCACAGCAACCAAGGAGTTTCCCAGAATCACCACCTTTTGCCTGTTAACATTTTCCTCATACCAGTTAGATCCCCTGGCACAAGGATATACAGGAATAGATTTCAAGTGAATTATACATTACAGCACTTGTCTTTCTCCCATAATGCACAGTAATGTCTCCAGGAAATTATTCACATCAGAAATTACGAATTTACAAAATAATCTTTAGAAAGCCGTAGGGACGAATATATACAGCAGGTGTGGTGACTGAGCCCTCAGCATTTTCATTTACACATGCAAGTATGAATTTGCATGTAAGACTAAAATGACTAAAAAGGCAGACAGCTTCTCAGCCCAAAGATTATATTCTGTGCATGAAAGTGTTGAGTTGTGAAGGCACAGGAGACCCGCACGTAGTTTGTGGCAATGGCTGTCAGAGGGATTTTTGAGAAAAAAAAAAAAAAAATCCCCTGTTAAAAATAGGTTTCAAATTTTCTAGTTATTTTCTTTGCTTGACTGAACTGCAAAAGATTTAGTTCCCTAATTATACCGGCACAATGGCTTAACTTGTTGAGTTGCGAAAGCTTGCTGTTATTCTTAATCAGCATCTTTAATCCTGCAACAGCATGTCTGCGGCAATGAGAGAAAACAAAAAAGATTCGTGGTGGCTGCCATTAAAAATTGTTATATCACACCCGTCTTTGTGTTGAGGCACTTCTTGAACTTGGAACTGGGAGACTGAGCACATTCCTGTCAGAATAATCCTTGTTCAGCAGCTACTGTCAATTGTCAGGCTTGGGGAGGCTTTCAGGAGGTGCTGGCTATTTGTGCAGCACAAGCCCTCTGCAGTCTTAAATACTCCAAAATAGAGTCACCCTTGGCATAGCTTGGAAATACTCAGGTTGCATTAACATTGAGTTTTAGTGTGGAATATATGTTTTCTCCTTTCATCGCCACTTAACTGATTTATCTGAGTTTCCAGACTAGCATCTTCTATTACTTTCAATGAGGGCATTGTCTTCCTTTCTTAGAGGAGCTCAGAAGATCACCAGTTACATGAAATGGACCACAATATGATTTAAAAAAAAAAAAAAAAAAGTTCTTTTTAAATGTTGACATTTTAAAACCCATATCTCCCATTCTTGGTAAAGCTGCGCCATGGAAAACCAGAAAAGGAAGCCAAGTCCACAGGAAATCCCCACGCTGACACTTGGAGTGTACCGTATTAATAATAGGTTAATCTTTAAAATCTGGAAGTGGAAATGGAATGACTGTGGTTCTTTCGGCTTTGTCAGGTGCCTGTCAGGCTGAAGGCTGGTTTGCGTTTGCTGAACCATGCTATTAAGCATCCCTTAGCCCAAAAGCTGCAGGCTCATCTGGCTTCATCCAGGCACTTTCCCAGCTCACGTGCTGTGCCTGGCATCTTGCTGGGTGGCACTGAGCAGCCTTTATGACTTTGCCAGTTTGTACTAACTGGAGAAATTTGGGAGAGAGAAGGGAGTAGGGCACCCCTGCCACCCTTCTCCACACAGGCTGCTGGTCCCCTGACTTGGAGCACCAACCCCTGCAGCTGCCTCCGGGGTCTTGTAGCTTCCCACTCTTACACAGGCTGCTCACCAGCCCCTCGGCTAAAGCCTCCTCACATTTCATCTCCTCTAGATCTCTCCCTCAAAACTCCTGCGATATTGCTGGCCTAAAGGCTCTTGCTTTCTGTTCCTCTTTGGGGGAAATCCCACTGCTGTGAGCCCTCCTGCAACCCGCCAGGCTCCTTGTGCCACCAGCCCTCCCGCTACTCTCAGAAATGCTCCTCTTAACCACGAGCTACGAGGACCAGTCCCACAGGTGACGCACGTGGTACTGCACAGGTTGAAACATCTGATGACAAAGACCCTTCAAAAAAGGCAAAAAGAAATAGAGAAAACTGTTGTCCCAGCTTGTCGGCTTCTCTAAGCTTCTGAAGCTGTCATTAACCACGGACTTCCTTTTGGCTGAAGCCTGTAAGTGACAATATGTGCGAGCACAGTGCTCATTAACAGCCAGGATGTTTGAGGCTAATGCTCCTCTTGCAAAGCATATTTAATTTTATCAGCTAATCAAGTTATTTTTAATCAAAGTGCTCTTTGAAAATGACAAGAGCACACATGATCTGAAAGATGAACAGAGAGAGAGAGGCAACTATTTCTATTTTAAAACCTCTGACAGAAATTATTCCGGGGCTGAAGCACGGCATTCCAACATCTACTGGCTTTCTTGTCAGTCACAGAGCTGTGGGAGACGGAAGAGCAAAAATTAAGCTAAAAGAGATAACACACAGGAAGCCCGTGCTGTGTTAGATTGAAAGCAGCCAGTGCTTTCGGTGACAAACTTGGAAACTAGAATGGAAACACTGCTACACTAAATGATGCCGAATGTGCTAAATGTACATACTTTTTTTTTTTTCCTTTATATAATAGTATAAAGCACAGAATTATCACCAAGAAATGGCAGAAGCTAGATGCCAAACAGTCGGGCTGCTTCGCATATGAACAAAGAACCTATCTGCCTGCCTCTCTCCCGCACTGAATTATCATGCTCTTCTTGGAAGGAAATGAAGATCATCAGTCTATTTAGGTCGTGACTTTATGATTCATAGAAAAGCCTAGGTGGGGGACATCGCCCCCCTTATCGCCACTGTTAGTGGCAGATAGGACAGAGTCATATCAAACTGAAAACCAAGACAAGCCATGGCTGATCTCCCTGCTATTTTAGGACCTGCAATCAGCTCCTGAGTGTTCAGATCTGATACTTCTCATGACCCATCACAAGGCTGGAAAGAGGCGATTTCAGGTTTGTGAAAGCGCCCCATCAGCTGCAGCATGAATACCAGCTTTGTTGGGATTTGTGCTCTCTCCCTACTCCAAAAACAAAAAATAAAACCAAACATTTAAAAAAAAAAAAAAAAAAACAACCCCAAAAGAACCAAAGCAACCATTTACAGGCTAATCCCACTTCAGCACAGGAGCCTCACTGCGAAGGCGCAGAACAAAACATTTACTGTGGTTCTTGTTTGGTTTGATAATCTTTCGAGAACTTCCCACGTTTTTCTATCAGTAAAAACAGCCTGTGGTAAAGTGATTTGTGTTTTCTGCCTTTTCCAGAACAGTAGCCATAGAAGTTTGTAGCCCCATTGTCTGAAAAAAAAAAAAAAAAAAAAAAAAAAAAAACCAAAAATGCGTATATTTATTTCATTGGTTTCTCGTTTGTCTTACCCTGTGAAATGTCATATAAAGGGAAAACCCCAGTAGCTCACATATAACCACACTCCTCTGTACTTCTCAGGATCCCGTCCCAGTAAGCGTAAGTTGGTAAATCCTCCAAAATTATTATCATGCATGATGTCAACCATGCTGGAGGTACCTCCTCAAACTACTAGATAAGCATCTACTTTGTATAGGTCAAGTTTTTTTGGCAAGCCCATGACCCATTTTTGGCAAGTGTGTTTTTATTCTGTCCGCCTCCTTTGGTTGTGGGAGGGTCGAGATGAAATCCTGGCCTTACCAAAGGTGGAGCTGAAGCTCAGGCTGATTTATCTGACTGTTTAAAATGCCCAAAGCCACAATGACTGTACACAGGGAACTGTATGTTGGGACGGGATTTCCTTTCAGATGCCATCGTTTTTACATTCTCCTGCTCAGGAGTCCAGGAGTCTTGTTTGGCTTCACCTCCTCACTCAGCACGCCATAAACCGCAGGAAGCCAAGTCTTTAACACGTACTTAACAGAGGTCAAAGAAAGTGTTAGCAGGCAGGCTGCTGGCTCACCTCCTGGACAGAGCAGGACCGCTCTTTTTCTCTCCTGGCGCTCTGTGTTTCTCTTCTGCTACCAAATAAATCCGAAATAAGGGTATTGGTTATCGTCTACTCACTCAGGCAGAAAAATGCAACAGCAGTTGCAGACTCCGTAGCTATACGCTTACACTATAGGAGCATTTTTAGAAGCTGTATAACTGGGGGGTCATTTCTGCCTGCTGTTTTGTGTGGTATCGTTGGTGAAGGTGATGGCACAGGTGGGTACGCAGCGCACAGACCGCTCTGCAGGCGAAGACAGCACCGGCTGCGGGTGAGGACCATGTCATCCCGGCTGAATTTCTCTCTGAGTGCTGTGCTTAGCTGTTGATTCCTGAGCTGCCTCGAGGTTAGGACGGGCAGCACAGCCAGCAGGACGGGGACATCGCCTCTCTGTCAGGTGCACAGGGGGTCGTGACCCACCGTGTTGGTCCCGTCAGCATCTCCCCAGGACAGGCAGGGGCTGCGCTGGATGTTGAGGCTGTGTGCTCGTATTTAAGCACCTGGGGTCGACCTCCTGTTGGCTGCGCAGCTCAGATGAAGAGATTTATTTAACTTATTCTGGAAAGCCTAAAAAAGCGGATGCTGAAGACGGAGTCGGTGATGTTACTGTTCCCGTTGTCAGCCAGGAGAGCGGCTGTCAGAGGGGGATCAGGTGCTGGGCGTGCGGGCTGCAGGACCCGCCTCACTCGCGGGCTGCCCACCCCCAGCCCCCAAAACCCAAACCCCGGGGGACAGCCCCAGCAGCTCCCCTCCTGCAGCCCGCCCCAAACCCCCCGCAGCCTGCAGACACACCCGCACCTCTCCTCGCCGCCTTCATTCCCCGCAGCGCCGGGAGACGTCGGGACCCGGCCCCGCACCCCCGGAGCCCCCGGCCCTGCGGCGGGGCAGGTGCGGCCGCTTCCGCGGGGAGGAGGAGGAGGAGGAGGAGGAAGAGCAGGAGGAGGAGGAGGAGGAGGAGGAGGCGGCGGTGCCCGTGGGCGTGCTCCCGGCGGGGAGGGCCGCCCGCAGCCCACACCCCCGCCGCTAACTTCGCCGCCTTCCCCTCCCCGCCGAGCCGAGCCGAGCCGGGCCGGGCCGGGGCCGCCCCCCAGCCATGAAGGGCCGGCGGCGGCGGTGGTGCTGGTGCTGGCGGGGGGAGCCGCGGCGCCTGGCCGTGGTGCTGGGGCTCTACACGCTGCTGCTGCTGCTGCTGGTGCCCTACGCGCTGGACTACGGGGCCAGGAGGGCGCGGGGGGACGAGGAGCCGCTGCTGCGGCGCTGCCCCAGCCTGGAGGAGGCGCTGAGCGAGTGGGGCTGGGAGCAGCGCCCGGCGCCCACGGGCGACGAGGAGGACGAGGAGGAGGAGGAGGGCGAGGAGGAAGGCGGCGGAGGGGCGGCGGGGAACGGCACCGGGGCGGCGGCGGGCAAGCGGCACATCTACCTGCACGCCACCTGGCGCACGGGCTCGTCCTTCGTGGGGGAGCTGTTCAACCAGCACCCCGACGTCTTCTACCTCTACGAGCCCATGTGGCACCTGTGGCAGGCTCTGTACCCGGGAGACGCGCTCAGCCTGCAGGGCGCCCTGCGGGACATGCTGCGCTCCCTCTTCCGCTGCGACTTCTCCGTGCTGCGCCTCTACGCCGCCCCGGCCGGGCCCCGCGACCCGCTGGCCCCCGGCTCCCCCAACCTGACCACGGCCGGCATCTTCGGCTGGCGCACCAACAAGGTGATCTGCTCGGCCCCGCTCTGCCCCGCCGCCCCGCGGCCCCGCGCCGAGGTGGGGCTGATCGACGGCGCCGCCTGCGAGCAGCGCTGCCCGCCGCGGGCGCTGCGGGAGCTGGAGGCCGAGTGCCGCAAGTACCCGGTGGTGGTCATCAAGGACGTGCGGCTGCTGGAGCTGGGCGCCCTCCTGCCGCTGCTCAGCGAGCCCGGCCTCAACCTGCGCGTGGTGCAGCTCTTCCGAGACCCCCGCGCCGTCCACAACTCGCGCCTGAAGGCCAAGCAGGCGCTGCTGCGGGAGAGCATCCAGGTGCTGCGCAGCCGACACCGCGCCGAGCCTCGGGGAGCGCCTCGGCCAAGAGGACCCCCTGGCCCGCTGCCCCCCGGGCTGCTGGGCGCGGGTCGGGCACCGCCACCGCAGCACCGAGCCGAGTTCTTCCTTGGCGGAGCGCTGGAGGTGATCTGCCAGGCCTGGCTGCGCGACCTGCTGCTGGCACGACGCGCCCCGTCGGGGCTGCGGCACCGCTACACGCAGCTGCGCTACGAGGACCTGGTGCGGGAGCCCCGCGCCCAGCTGCGGCGCCTGCTGCGCTTCGCCGGGCTGCCCGTGCCCCCCGCCATGGAGGCCTTCGTGGTCAACATGACCCGCGGCGAGGCGTACTCCTCCGAGCGGCCCTTCCTCATCTCCGCCCGCGACGCCCGAGAGGCCGTCCACGCGTGGCGGGAGCGCCTCAGCCGCCAGCAGGTGCGGCAGGTGGAGGCGGCGTGCAGCGAGGCCATGAGCCTGCTGGCCTACCCGCTCAGCCCCGACGACGGGCGGTAGCGGCCCCGGGACCAACGCCAGGACACCCCGTGGCATGGGGGCCTGTCTGAGACAGGGAAACAGTGGCCTCATGGGCCTCCGCCTTGGCGTTGGTGGACATGTTGGCATTGGTGGACATGTTGGCGTTGGTGGACATGTTGGTGTTGGTGGACATGTTGGCATTGACATTGGCGTTGAAGGACACATTGGCATCGGTGAACACGTTGGCATTGGCCTTGGCGTTGGCACACAGAGGGAGGGAGGTTTGAGCGCCCGCTGGGTGCCAAGAGGCCAGGGAGAGCGGCTGCCGAGGTGACGATGGAGGGGACACGTTCTTGAGGTGTTTGGTGAGAGATGCCCTCGGGGCACAGTGCCGGACTCTGAGGCCCCCTAGATGTGAAACTGTGACCCCATGCCAAGAGTGGGGGTTGTGTAAAAAGAAAACAAGAATGCTGTGTTAAACTTTAAAAATCCCCCGGACAACAGCTCTCAGTAAGGAATCAGAGGACTCAAAAGTTATTAACGTAAGAGGATCACCCCTTCCAGAGCATGAAAACACGTTGTGTCCCACTGTATTGCTATTAAAACACTTAAAGGAGGCTTCTGTGAAATTCGTGGCGTTTATGCACGGCCCGACTGCCAGAGTCTCACGCCACGGGAGGACGTTCCGCCGAGGGAGGACGCCTTGGTGTTGGTGCTTGCTGAGCCTGTGTGAGCGCTGTCTGTGTGGGTGGCTTCGTCTCCTTCCCGTTCCTCGTTGCAGTTCCCCTCTGTCCCTTGGAGCACTCGGGTATTTGGTTGTAGGAGCAGGGAAAGTGTTTGGATGCTTAAGTGTTTTGGACATGTTTGTTCCTTAAATTGTAACTTTTCTAAAGAAATCCGTAACCCTTTTGTAAAGTTGGGTATTTTAATACATTCCTGTAGTGATATTCACGTGCAATACAGGTGGCTAACATGTCTTTTGCGGACACCCGTAGAGATAACTGTAGCTGGAAGGTGAACTCTTGGTATTTCCATTTTGTTTCCTCAACTGGATGAGTGAATCACTTTTCTTCCCTAACTTCCTGACTGATACATTGTGCTGTGCGCAGGTTCCCCTGCTCACATCCCTTCCGAACAATAACATCCTCTCAGCTGGTCACGCGTGTGCTTAGACAAAAGCAAATGCTTCCTAACGGGGCTGAGCAAATTCATCTTGGCGTAAGAAGAAGCTCCCAAATAAAAGTTTGTATTTAAGGGGGGGGGGGGGAGAGAGAAAAATGAGAAGAAAAAAAAACTCTAAGTTTCATTTTGGGTTTTCAGATGATATTTTTCTGCAGACTTCCTGGAGCTTGTATGAGAAGGGTGTGCATGTGCGTGTGTGCAAGTGTCTTCGTTCTGTTTCTCGATTTGGGGATAGGAGGTTTAAGTGTAACGTGAGGACACAGCGCTGTAACTCGTTACGGACGGCTTTTGAGCCCGTTCCAACCTGACGGCGTCTCAATGGCACTGCAGGAGCATACGAGGCTGTGGGGACGCTTACATACAGTCCTCCAACACAAAGTGAGAACACGAACTTCAAACTGAGGATAATCCAGGCTCAAGAACAAAGCTATATTTATATAAAGTGCTGGAAATAAAGACAGTTCAAAGGGGTTACGCTCTCTTACAAGAAACATTTGCATTGCACTGTAGTTGTTCATGCTTTGCATATTGCGCTGTAAAACATGCCAGGGTGCTAGGGTGAGCCTTAATTTATTTGAGCTCTTTTCCTTCCTCAGCCTTCCCACCAAAGGGTACATTAGCAGTAGAAGCATTGCTGCTGTCATTGTCTGAGGAAAAGTGCAGGCATAAAAGTGTTTTTGAGTGAATCAACTAATTTCATGGTAGCATGCACCATACAGTTGTGCATCCTTTGGTTTCTGCTTGGGGTAAAAATTGCAGGGGCCCATTTTGTATGGAAACCACCTTTGTATTATCTAAGGGATGTTTCTGTGTCCTGCTGTAGGTAAGCATGAGAGCAGAATCGGTCTCTGGATGTTGTGGTGCTATTTAGCAGTGGGATTTGTTTAGATGAACAATACCTGTCCTGATGCCTTGATAACCTGTGTTGGGTAGCCTAATCTGGCAGACACCCAGCCCGGCTTGTGCGGACAGGTTTGGGAAGAAAATACGATTTAATCGCATGCCAAAAGACAGTACGGTACTAATTTCCTTACGTCAGATGGGAGATCAAAATGCAGGGTAGCTTGCTGATTTGTTTCTCAGCACACTGCAGTCACAGGGTTGCACTGTGCAGTTGTTGAGCATTCGCTTCACCTTGGCCAGGAATCTCTTCTTGCCACTGCGGGTTGTGATGGTCTTTTGTAAAAGAGGTTGTTGGAAGCGCGTGCTTAGCCTCAGTTCATCGTGGTAAGACAAGAGGTGCTTATAGCTGAAAATATCCACTACCTGTACAGCATATAGTGTCTTCTGAAATAGTTTCCACACTTGACAGAGACGCATTTTCTGTACCCATATTTATTTTTCTCAATGGAAGTTGCTCCCTGATGCACTTTCTTCTTTCTGCTAGTGATTCATTCGATTTTTTTCTCACCCCAAGCTGTTCTCCTAAGACCCAGCGTGGTTCCTGCAGGTTTCTGAGGGCTGTGAAAAGGGCTCTGTTCTGCAAAGTGTACAAAAATACAGCAAGTGCAGTTTCCGTTTTGCATTCAGGGCATGAGAGTTTATTAGAAGACTCCACTAAATGATCAACGGGGAATATATGAAGTGGAAAAATGGAGTAGCACAGAGCAGGATCTTCAAGCAGGATGTGCAGGAGCATCCAGGACCGGGCAGCAGTTGCCTAATGGCAAGTTTGAGTAGTTTAGGCTGAGATTTGGGGAAAGTGTAGGCTTGTTTTACTCTGCTTGTAATGAATTAACAACTTTAATACATTGAGCCGTGGTGGGAAATGGAAACAAAACTGACAAACGCTTATACAACTTATTTCTGTCATCTGGTTTTACTTAACTTAAAGGTCGTCACGCGTTCGCCTTAAGGGAGGTCGAAACTTGAGCACCGTAATTGTACGCAAAGCCCTGTGTTCTAGATGCGGCATTTCCACGCTGGAATTGCTAATTGCTCTGTCACAACACTGTGCCTGTGCTTAAATTGTTAAATTTGAATTGTTGGGTGACAACTGTGAGAAATGCTGGAGGTCGGAGTCAAAAACTACCGAGCCTCTGCGTTGCTTGTAGTCCTAGAGCATCACTTGTACATCCCCGTGGTACGTGCTCACACGCTTCAGATACAACAGAAATGTTTTCATTGCTCAGAAGTGTTTATTTCCTCGGTTTCTTTTTGTCAGCACAAAGCTCTCCCAGTGCAGCATCCCCTGAGAAGCGTTAGAGCAGGAATGGAGAACGGCAGCAAAGTTCCTTATTTAACAGCTTCAGCATCGCTCCGGTCATTTCTGTCCTGTTCCCCCGCTCACTGCCTGTCCTTCAAGAAAAGCTGTGAGTTTATACGTTAAGTTCTCTTCAGGCATTGGTACCACAGATTTCAGTAAGATCATAAAAATCAGCGCAGAACTTTGGGGTTTCTTACGGTAACGCAATTAAGCAACACCTCCATGGAGAGCTGAGCTCTCGGAAGGCAGCAAGGAGCCAGCACGCCTGGCAGCACGTGCCGTCCTTTTCCTCAGCCTGCAGAGTTGTCACTCAGCCTCCCTGGTGGTATTTGGGGTACAGGGACAGCGAGTATGGTGCTTGTGCTTTCTGAGAATCACCCTGCAATCCAGCCGGCACTGGGACTCTCTGAATTTATTTTGCCATCCCTATTTAACTGGACGTGGCACCTACCGCCGTGGAGACAAACATGGCAAAAACAAGATCGTCAGAGCAAGTCTTGCGCTAGCAGAAATTTTCAAGGCCACACTGGCCATGGGAGAGAGACTTTTTTAAACCCAAACTCAGGTTTTTAAATCCAACTTGGATTTTTAAATCCAAAGGCATTGAGGTTAAGGTTTTCTATGGCTAAGGGCCCCATTTATGGCTGTTGAGGCATACCTCCAGCGGTCTCGGCTCCGGACAGCAGGCTGGCTGGAAGCTGGCTGGCTCTGTAGGGCTTACACCCTCTGCAGGCATTTAGCACCAGCAGATTACAGCTCCCAGCACTGAGCTGTTAAGCTCTGCTGCTGACCCACGGCCCCATTTCTTGTGTTGGTAAATGGGAATCAGACCTTTCCCTGGTGCTCCCAAATTTCTCTCCTCATTTCTAACCATGTAACTTTGCCAAACTTTAACTGTATCTAGGCTGAAATGTTTCGTGTTGGGCTTAAGGCTCAATTCTCTTTGGGAATTTCAGTCCCTCTTCTTTCGAAACCAGGGTTAGGATGCGGCGGTCTTTTGCCTGTGTTCCAAACGCTCTCCAAGATGTCTGTGAAATCTTCTGTCACGTCAGTGCTTTGGGACGAGCACTCCTGTTCAGGCAGGGGAGCTGACCTCTGTGTGAGGAATGCGTGTTCTGTTGCCATTCCAAGTTGGCCAAATATATTAATGTTTGCAAAAAAACAGCATGTGCTCAGTAAAAGTGGTTTTGGTATATGTGTGTCTGTCTTTATTTTGTACCGAACAAAACCTGCCTTGCTTTTCTCTTCAGCAAGCATGCTCAGGCCTCTGCCTTCCCCACAGGAAAGCTCGGTGTGGTGTACGGCACACAGCAGTGGGTACCAAAGTCACGTAAATACCACCAGGAGCTGCCATCCCTGCGCTGCCGCTGATGCCTTCTCCTCCAGCCCCACGCTGCCCAAGGAATTTCTTAATTGCCTCACAGCTTAATTGCCCCCAGCAGCATCTGAGGTGGGAGCAGCACCCTCCTGCTTAGCTTTTACAAGGTTCTTTCCCCCCATTGCCCCTCAGTACTGTCAAGCTTGGCTTGTGAGGAAAAGGGGTGATGTGGGAGCTGCCTGATCCAGCTGGGATTTGGGAGCGCCTTTGCAATCCTGTGTGCATCGGTCATTAATACCCGCAGACGGAACAGATGTGTCTGGAGGAGGCCCTCGGCTGTGTCCTTGGCCCCAGTAACAGATGTTTGCACTTCGGATTGAGAAGCGCCAGTGCTGGCAGTGCCTCATGTGCGTGTCACTGACATCCATTGCTTCCAAAGCATATACAGGATCCTCGGCTGGGAGGGACGCACAAGGATCATTGAGCCCAAGGGCACTGAGTTCCCTTCCATGCTCCTCGACAGCTGTATGTGTATCGCAGGTGTTTTTTTCCACAGGGTGGACCTGTCTGGGGAGGAACCGATCCCGCATGAAGCCTGGCACATGCAGAAGGGCTGAAGCAGGACTCAGAGTGTGTCAGGGGTGCCGGTGGCTCGCAGGGTGACCCTGAGGTGCAGCTCTGAAGGAGGCTTCCAAATGGGGCAGGAAGGGAGGGAAAAAAGACAGCTCCTTTTAGGAGACAACTCCACTAATTTAGAAATGGAAAGGGATTGCTAGGGTAGACAGCCACGTGGAGGCAACAGGTGAAGCTGAGTGATCCAGGAGCCCTGTGGAAAGTTCCACACCAAACAATGAAACTTGAAAAATGGGCTGTCATGTTACAAAAAGAGCCAAGCCCGTGGCTCACAGATGCTTTGTGCGTTTTGTTTGTGCTCTGTGAAAAGGAGGTAATGCTGACCTTCACGGAAAGGCTGCAAAACAGTTTGCTCTGGAGTACCCTGCAGCGGGCTGTCGTCACACAAAGCTTCCTAGGAAGAAGCCTGGTGACTTTGTCTTTGCCAGGATTTGAGCAAAACGTATTAGAGCTCAGCTGTACCATAAATCACAATGAGCAAAATTAATATCATAAATTCGTTTGCCCTGCTTGCTGAGAAGAGAGGAGCCGAGGGGAAAGGGAAAATGCCCTGTTTGTGTAAACACAAGCCACGTGCGTGTTTACTTGCGATGGGTAAAAATCCAGCTGTGTACCCGAGTGTGCAGCCATGCAGCCCTAATGCTGCCCTGATAGTGGATGAGCTGTCCTTCATGCTTTGCTAGGAATTTGTTAAATTATTCTCCTCTTGCTAATTTATGCACATGTGTGAAACAGGTACTTTCAGCTATGTTTTAGCAAGCATTTAAATCACAGGAAAGAGGTGAAATAGGTGAGTGCAGTTATTAAAATAATGCAAGAGGACTGTTACGATATCAGCCTAAGTACAGAAGAGGCCTCACTGATGGAAGTTTTGGAAACCTTTCCTCAGCTTACCATAATAATTGTAGCTGCTGCTTGTGAAGAGATGACTTAGGTGAACTGTCTCTCCTCTTTTTTTTTTTTTCTTTTTTTTTTTTTTTTCCCCTAAAACCAGTGTAAGAATAGGCAGTGATACCTAGCTTTATCTCGGGTGTTTTGAGGGCAATAGGATGTGACCTAAGTCACCTGTCCCAAGCTGCTCTTCAACTCATTAAGGATGGAGACTGCATAGCCCCAGCAGCATGCCCACTGTCAAAAGTTCTCCCTACTGTCTATCTGAATCATTCCTCCTTCAGCTGAAGCCTTTTACTTCTCTTACTGGGTGCAGAAAACAGTCTGCCACCACTTGCCTGTACCAACTTTGTTAACTAATCTTATCAGAAGCACACAATTACATGATTCTTTTTTTTACACAACAACAGCAACAACAAAGCATTAATCAGCTTTCAAGCCTATTAGTTTCCAGTTCAGGCCTCAATTTGGTAATTCTTGTCCTTACAGAGCAATTTGGGGTCATTTATCCTTTCATATTGGGCAATTTCCCTATTCCACACTCAAGCTGCGGAACCACTCCAAGGTCTGCCTTAATGCCCCCGTATCAGATAACCAGATAAATATTTCAGTTGCTTATACAACACCAAATTCGCACATGAATAGAGGTGCTTTTGCTTACTGGTCTTGCCTGTTCCGAGTGGGTTTTGTTTTGTTGTTGTTTTGATACAAGAGGTGGAAACTGATACAAAACAGGCTCCAGCCTCAAGTTCCTTCTTTCTGATCAAGTGACGGTAATAATATCAGCAGCAAATGAGGAATCGTTTTATATGAATTTCACTTTGCATCATGAATTGTAAATTGGGTGCCATAGCTTGCTATTAATTCTCACTAAATTCTTGCTAAAATATTTGTTAGCTGGCTCTTCTAGGAACTTACAGTCAAAGCAGTTACAGGCACATTGGGAGCATCTAGCCAGCATTACTTAAACTGTTTCTTGATAGAAAAGGAGCTAGGCTGTGCTCTGATAAAGTTTATTATTAAAATCTTAACTACTGCATGGCAGTGGGTGAGGTGGGGGGGGAGTCTCCTGTGATGCCACAAACCTGACAGAATAATTTAGAGAGCGGCAGTTAATTAATGGAACATTTTCCTCTTCTAACGATGCTCTGCTGAATGCAGAAGCAGCGTAAGGCCCTGCGGAATAATTCCCAAGACTGATTTTTGAATTTCTGCAGGGCTTCATCTACATATGAAAAGATAATTCCATATTTAGTGGTTTTAAACCAGCGAGGGTAAAAATTTTCCGGGGAAGTTGATAGCGCCTCTTTGCACTAAAGCAGCCGTAGGACTAGAAGCATCTTTAAGTTTGAGCCATAATTTGAGCACCTGTAATGGCATAGCTGCAATTCGCACAGAGCAATGCTTGCATCCTTCGGACAGTTAGGTTTTGCAGGAACTGCCAGAAGGTAAAAATTGGGTTGATTGCTGCAATCAAGCGTTTTCATACTTTCATAGCGTTACTCTCTGTGTGAAGAAAGCTTGAACATCTACAGAAAAAAAATCCATATCCATTGTCACAAATTGTGTTGGATAAATGCCCAGAATGGACCACCACGTTTTTTTATATGTTTGTGCAATTTTTTTTCCACGCTGCTGCCTTTGCCTCGCCTGGCTATAGCAGTAGCTTTATTGAAGCCTGCAGCTAAGCGATGGCTTTCAGTAACCCAAGGGTAGGTTTGTTCACATTTGCCCATAATGTTATGACAGATGGTTCCTTCCTAGCAAAGGGAGAAGCACAGAAGTTTGGTGGTGTTATTTCCCACTCCCCCCTTCCTAAATACCAATCCCCCGGGTAAATCATGTTTTGTCTGCAGGGTTTTATCAAAGTGCTTGTTGCTCGTGCTAGGAGACTCCCTTGCATACCCATTGACTAAACAAAGCTGCACCTAAATCCCCTGGGATTTCCTCCCTGCAGCTGCTTTGAATTGCTCAGCGCTACTATTTATGTGGGCTCTGAACCTGAACAGCTACCTCTGGTTGAAACAGAAAAGAAAAACACAGTCGAGACTCAGTTGTGCATACAAGGGAGGTGGCAGTGTGCCTTTTGGGTAGCGATGGACCCGTCTGGAAGCAGAAGGTTGTTGATTCCCACCTGTGGGGGTGCAGCCACACTCCTGCCCCAGGCAGCTGCTCCAGTACCCCTCCAGGAGCAAAACTCACCAGGGGAGCTCTGCTTCTTGTGACCATTTCAGAAACCAAAGACAAGAGAAGCAATTTTCTGCGCAGACTAAAGAATGTACAGCAAAAGACGGAGGGTATGACTAAGCACACGAGAGCTGTCTCCTCTTTTAGCACAATGACTAAAAGCTCTGTTGGAGAGACAAGGCTGGGGCTCCTGTTTAGAAACGGGGGCGTTTCAGCTTGGTGTTTAAAATTTCGTGTCATAACCCAAGTTTCTGACTGTAACTGGGGCATGTGTGCAATTACTCAGTCTCTCTAGAATAAAGCATGTTAGATTACAGCTGATTATGCTTCCCTTTTTCAGAGCGTATGTTATCATTTAGCATTTAGACACAATTCGTGTTCTGTAACAAGAGAGCAGACTGGATTTTAAGATTTTAAATAGACACGGGTTTGATCATTTTATTTCATTAATCAGATGGCTCAGAACACTTAAACAGCGTATTTAGAAAAAAAGTCACATTTTCAAGCATTACACTGCACGAAACTGAACATTTTTTTGAAACAAACAAACAAAAACAGCAAACAAAAACCTCTTTGCTCCTAACTTCACAAACACATGACTTATGTTATTTCAAGTGCGTTGCAGAAATCACTTGGTCTGAGAGTAGGGTTAGTCTAACAGGAGTAAATAGTTTTTACTTAGTGATGCCAGTCTTGGTTGGGGAAAACAGGAGGTAGAATAGATGAACAAAATTCAGTTTCTTTGCAAATACTGAACTCAGTCTAAACACCTATGATGTCTTGCAATGGAAACAATATTAGACTGATAAACACAAACATTCTTTATTGATGATATTAAGGGATGCACAGACTGCCTGGGGGAAAGGCAGGGTGCAGATCTTCCACAGCTCATCAAGCACAATTTCATTCTTACCACCATTTCACAGCATTATTTCTACTCCTCCCTTGTTTGATCTAGTTCAAATATTCAGCTGATGCTAGCATCCCGAGAATTTACTGAGTATCCTTAAAAAGCTTATTTTTATTCAGAACTTGAGAAGGAAGTCCCCAAATATCTGAGGAAAGCATATTGCAAAAGAATGGTTTATTTGGATTGAAAAAAAAAAAAAAAAAAAAAAAAAAAAAAGTTGAAAACAAGTAGCATTAAAAGCATCAGATCTTCAGTCTCCCAAACAACGAGGCTGTGTAGCTGCAGGCAGGAAGCACTGTGATCTCCTCAGGTCTTAGTTTTCCAAGAGGTGACGTAGTAATGTTGAAGAAGAGTTCCTTTCTCTTTAAATACCAGATCTGAACTTCATAACTTACCCGATTACAAACTTTTGCATGTGCTCACAAACGCTAAAACCTATTTCACTGCAGGAAGCCTCGACAGGCTTCTCGCCTTCAGATTTACTGCAGAGCTTCCCTTCCTGGCTGCAGGACCCCTCCAGGGATGGGGCAGACAGAAGGACCTGCGCCACCTGGTCAGCAAGATCCCGCTTTGTACGTACAAAGGGACAGGGCACCAGCAGTCACAGTCCCAGACTTGGAGCACACACCTACTGCAGCCAAACTGAAGCCGGGGAGGCTCAAGAATGACTTCCACAATGCATTCAGTCACTTTTATAACCTCGTCGTGGACCAGAATGGACAAGCACAGACAAAATGCAGCACTTCTAATGACTGAAAACGCTCCTTCAGCTACATGTAGGGAGCTGAGACGAGGAGGGCCTGAGCTAGGCCTCGCCTCCATTGGCTGGAACTGTAATACCTCATGCTCCGATCTGCTGACTGGGGATCACCCTGCCATCAAAAAACACAGTCACTCACTTCGTGCAAAGCCTCAGACTGTGTCCATGGGAAAAGGAAGACCATCCAAAGCAACTCGTGCACTGCTGCTTGGAGCAGTCCTGTATGAGCAGCTGCTGCAGTGGGCCCAAAAATCCCCTGCCCCACGGCCTGCTCAGGTACAGCTCAGGGGTTAACACAAGGCAGCCATTTCCAGCATTCATCTGTTTTATTGAAATAAGAGAGAGTAGCTCTCTGTGTATGAAGACAAAAGAAAATACATCCCAACAGTGGCACTCAGCCTGCCTAGGGGCCAGCAATGCAGCGGTGTAGTGCTCGCCCCCCTCCCCATTTTTCAGTAGCTCAGGGACTGCCTGAGGCAGGGGCCACGTTGGGGTTGTGTCCGAGCAGTGTCAGGGGCACTGCTCTTACCAGAAATGCTGACTTTTGTTCGAAAGCATATCACTGGGTGCAAAGGCTGTGACAGCAAGTTTCACTATTTGTTTAGAGTAAAAACACCGCCTTTGGGTTTGATTTGTCCCTTCACGTCAACATGTTTCATTTGTTTTAGTGAATCGCTCCCTGGTCTCCTTTGCCACACCACATTTTAATTTTACAAAGCCATATTGGATCTCCCTTTGCCGTCTCCTTTACCAAACCAAAACAACCCAGGTATTTACTCATTACGTGAAAATTACACTGGATTTCTGGTCACCCTTCTACCTGGCTCTGCCTTTTCAGTTTTGTGTCCATTCAAACACAACAAAGGCTGCAGGGGATGCCAATGGCAGGGACATGTGGTGGACTTCGACAGTAAAAAAAAATGTGAAGACAGCACTCTGCTGACCTAGAGCAGGTGTCTGTGTTCATACCTAACCCGAAACTTGTTAGCAGCACAGCAGCTCATTGCAGCACTGGGTTCTCTCTTTTCTTTTTTTTTTTTTTTTTTTTTTTTTTACAAAGGGTTGCATGGACAAGGCCTTCATCAGCATGTTCAAACACAGCTGAAAGCACAGCGATGCCTGCCCACACAATTGAATGTTTAGCTACCTATGTGCACACATCAGCCAGTGGCAGAAAGCCCAGCAGGTGTTTCTGTTCCCCCTCCTCCACTACTAGCACCCTAGAACAGAGCTTTCACAATATTTTTGGTTTTTATCTCTTCCCCAACCCCCTTTTTTTAGTTAAACAATAATCCATTGCTATTTGCCATCATTAAGATACTGAGCTCCCAAGCCAGAGGTCCAAAACACCTGCATTTTTTCAGTGCATGATCAGCCTAAGACCAAAACAAACCTTGAAAGTGCAGAGTTATTACTGCCTTTCTATCCTCACAGCTTCAGGTGTAAATACTGGAAGGCTTGCAGTTGCTGCAGCTATCACCACTACGAAGAGGATGTATCAGCAGGTGGAGTGTTATATTCCCATTTTACCAACCCTCTGCTTACCACAGGTACTTCAGTGGCATTAAAAATGCACATGAGAGATGAATGCTGTCTCCGGGAAGGATACTGACTCCGTGTGCTACGGACCTCCCTGATACAGGGCTTGCCACAGCCCCAGCTTGAACCTGTCAGGTAACGCAGGGTGTAGGTGCTTTGAGAGCAAAGGAACAGAAGTTACTAAAAATTTTGGAGAGAACATCTACCACAGCAGTGTTAGGACGGCATTAGCTACTTTGGTTATCTAGTGCCTATTTATATTTGAAGTAACCTTCAGGCAGCTCCTGCAACTTTGCTGATGTGTTATCTTAAGTAGCAACATGTTGCGAGTTCTGCAAATGGCAGACTGATAAAAGTCAGGTAAAACGCTGCTGCTGATTTTGTGCTCTATGGACAGATCACAACTAATGCACACACACAAAAAAAACAACCAACACACAAACAAAAACAAACAAAAAACAACAACAACCAAAAAAAAAAAAAAAAAAAAAGAAAAACAAGAAACAACCCTGCAGTTACAGGATATAGTGTTAATGTTAAGGTTAATGTTAATGTTAACAGAAGGCTAATCTCCCTTAAAGGAAGAAAAAAAGTAAGCCATCCTTGGCTGGCTTACCTTCCCCCTGTCCCCCTTAAGCCAGCTCTGGTGATATCCCTTTCTTTACTTCTGATTTCCCAAACTAAAACCAGACGAACTTACCTTAAGTGACCCCTTGTGCTAGAAGCTGTTATTTCACAATGGCTCTTCCTGATATGCTGGTATGATCTAGAAGAATGTCTCCTGGCATGCTGCTTTCTGGTATTAATCTGTGTCAGCATCAAGACACTCAGTAAGGCAACCTAGGGCTGCAATTCAGAATCCGACAGGGGACGATGACCTCCTTGATTAAACTAAGATCTGGAAATGAAGTTCATGAATGCATTACAACATGGAACTGTGTGACCTACTTCTCCCTCGCCCTGCAATAGCAGCAAAGACTTAGTTAAAAAATAAATCCAATCTCTTTCTCATAGGCTAAAACCAAATATGTAAACACTGCAGCAAAACCCTTTTAAGTTGAGCATTCACTTTCTCTGAGGGAACATATTTTTCTTCCAAATACCCACATCAAAGTGGCCCTATAAGTGCAGTATTTCAAAATATTGCTATCTAGTTGACCAGATTATTTTTTTTAATGCTAACAATGTAGCATAGCTTTGACATTGCTCTCAGGCATAAAAACTGTGTCTATTTTGCTCCTTTTTTTTTTTTTTTTAATCTTGCGTATTAAATGTGCTTATATGGGATGCTTCCAAGTTTTGAAAGGTTGTGAGGTGCAGGAAACAAGGAGCATCAAAAATTAAATGAAAATGCATTATGTTAACAAAAGCTAGAGCTAACCCAGATGTTTTTTTTCCCCAGAATGAAGATTGCTGCCCATTTGTACGCACCAACCTAAGTCCTTTCTGGCTCTATGCTGCAGAGCATGAACGTGGGAGGAGCACTGGCTTTATCCACACCAGTGCAACAGAATTTCCCTCTATGCTGACACTTTTCTACAGCATCAAGCTCCATGACACAGAGCACAGGCAATCGAGAAAGTCCTTTATTCCAGTACACGTTGTCATGAGCTGTCTCTGTTCAGTTTCAGTCCCTAGACAAAGCTTCAAACCTAGACCATGATTAAGAAAGTAGTATAGGATAAAGGTGTATTGGTTAAAGCATCCAAACCAGATGGATCATTTTATTACCCCAAAATCTGACTTGCTTTGAGTACTTAATCTAGTTCCATAGCAAAAGCTTGTGCACATCCTGTATCAAACTAAGACGTGAAATGTCATTTGAGTCTGCAACACAGATGCAAACAATTGGTCTACATTTACATCTTGCATGTATAAGGCACTTTCACATTTATCAGACTAGTATTACCCTAAAAATGACTTTCAAAGTCACTGAAGACTTTTTACATTCAAGAAAGCAGAGCAGTGATGTGAAATTATTTTTAAACGATTGTTCAAAGTTCCTTTCCTTGCCCTGGACTAGAAGAAAATCAGGATGTCCCTGTGAAAGGCTTTGAATCTATGATGAATTAGGACAGGGGTAGTTTAATTACTGTTGTGTTATCCTAGCAGCCTTACTTTAGGGTAAGTTATGCAGAAGCCCCCCAAAACTTTTCAGCATTTAGGAGTACAGGATTAAGAGTAACAGTTGTTTACAATGCTGTTCCCACAGTAAAGCTGCCTGCTAAAGCCATTTCCTGGCTCTGAAATTCACTATTTCCTCCCCACTTTCCTTCTCTTTCACTTCGCAGGCTCCTTTCTACTGGAAGTTATTTTTCAGAAGGGCACTCCCAGCATTACAGGCCAAAAAGTGCCTGTGGTTTCTCCCTGCAGCATGTGAACATCTCCTCCCCAGACCTGGGAAGCAGGACCCTCCTAACTACACTGCAGATGGGGTTTGTGGGAGCTGCTTCTTATAAAGATGAGTTTTCAATATAGGAACATCTGAAATTGTTACTGGGCCTGTTTTTTGCTTAGGAACATATTCGTGGTACTAAGCAGCTCTGTCCTGCTTTCTGTGACTCTAGTCACAACCAAGATGACACCGGGGCCATTTGGGGATATTTACTGCCTTTTTTCCTGCACCCTCCCTTGCTTATAAGCTTCAGCGGGTCGCGAGTTCAATGTTTGGGAGAGGAACAGTCCCTGCTGCTGATGCGTTTGAGAGTCCTCCCCGCGAAGGTCCTCCCCTCACCCTCATCTGGAGGAGCAGCTCACCACGCCGGGACTTCTGAGCGCTCAAATTCCATTCCCACACTTGTGCAGAAGCAGAGACCACGTCTGCCAAGACTGAGGTCAAGCATGTTATTCCTGTGAGCTACTTCAAATGGAGTTAAAAGAAACACTGGAACTCTCCTTGAAAGGCATGTGAAACATATTAGTTTCCCCTGTTTTACTGTTCAGAATTAAAAAAAGAAAAAAAATCTGATCAATACTGTGAGAAGAGAGACTGCAAGACAAGTTACACAAGACAGACCATCCTTCCCACACCAATCTACAAATTGTCTTGCTGAATGATTAAAATCATGGGGTGGGGCCTCTTCATTAGTATAAGTTGCTTACCCTGTCTGTTAAGGTTGCTAGACTTCTTCCTACGAGGTCTTCTGGCCGCCCCAGGAGCAAAACAGAGCAGCTATCGTAACAGCAGGCACGTTAACCTTTGCAGTGTATTTGTCTCGGATCAGCTCACTGGAAGTTCAGCCAAACACATTTGTATTTTTTTCCTGCACTCAACATTTCTGCAGTCCTTTCCCCAAAGGCAATTCCTTCCATGTGGAAAAAAAACACCCTACTACTTCTCAGCTTTAACTGATAAACCGCCTATAGGCCTGCAGACATTATGGGAACCAGCCTTTTTGCACAAACACACAGCGTGTACAAGTCATTCGTCTCACACTCACACAATTAACAGCAGGCTAAGCACAAAAACGCCTCATCTGGGTGTTTTCAGTGTTCTCCTGAGTTCTGTAAATGGAAGCCTTCACAATTCTTCCCCCAAACATTACAGATGAACATACAGAGAGGTTTAGGTAACTTCTTAGTGTCTGAATATCATGTTAATGTATCACTTGTATATTGCTGTGGCCTGTAATGCAATTAAATCAGTGTTAGCTTCTATGAAGTACTGAAAGAAGACCAGGGACTTCACTTTGCCCGTCTCCACCAGGGACTCATATCAGGAGATACCTTGGCAACTTCAGGTGAAGACTTACAGCAGTAAGTTGATGCAGTAAGCAAAAACCTACAAGGAGGAATCGCTCATCCCCAAGGCTGCAGCCACACAGGCTGCAACACCCCATGCTGGCATAGCAATACTTTTTTCAATGAAGACCCTCATCTTACATGCTTTCCTCTTCTTATCTGGAAAGGATGCTAGTATGTATCAACTGCTGTTCATCCCAGTCTTAGGCTGTTTCCTCTGTGCAAAACCTCACACACAAGTCCTAAGAAATTACACATCTGCTGTGCAGTAGGTCAAGTTCTTGCCAGCTCAGCAACTTATTGGAAAGGAACTGAAGGGATCTTTCGGAGAGCACTAGTTGGTGAAGTATGCAGCTTTTCAGGACAACGTGTTGTTTCAGGGCAAGCAGCTTTATTATATTTTTTCTTGATTTTGTTTCTTGCTTTTGTCTCCCCCCCACTTTTTCAGTAAAGGAAAATTGGGAATTTTGTACAGGGATCAATGTAGTAAGAACAGGCTAGATAGTGCAGCTTACCTTCAGTTGACAGTGGAAGATTTCAGCTGACATTTTTGAAGATTTAAAATAAAGAATTAAAAGATTTTTAAAAAGAATTTTTAAAAAAATCAAGGAATAAAACTAAGGTTGTGTGTACAGGTCTTTCCTCATTATGTTGGAGAAGTGTTTCAAGTAATTCTCGCATACAAAAGTTAGACTACTTTATTCATCACTTCTCATCAGTGATCAGTCTACTTTCCCTGCCCTTTCACAACCACATTTTGGGCTTACTGGCAAACTCGATTCATAAAATTATAGAATGACTTGGGTCAAAAGGGACCTTAAAGCCCATCCAGTTCCAACCCCCCTGCTATGGGCAGGGACACCTCCCAGCAGACCAGGCTGCCCAAAGCCCCATCCAGCCTGGCCTTGAACACCTCCAGGGATGGGGCATCCACAGCTTCTCTGGGCAGCCTGTGCCAGGGCCTCACCGCCCTCTGAGAGAATTTATTCCTTACACCTAACCTAAAACTACCCTTTTTTAGTTTAAAGCCATTCCCCTTGGTCTTGTTACTATCTGCCTGTGTAAGAAGTCACTCTTGGCCATTTATCTTTGCCATAGAAATTATAAACATAGACAAATCTACTACAGATGATTTACTGATGCTTTCAAAATACTTTAGTCTTCCTAAGAGATCTAATGAAATAGATTTTTTATTTTTACAATCTGTACATGATCTTTCTTCTGAGGAACAGATCTCTGCATACACCCCTGTTTTCCAGTCAAAGTAATTTGGTACATTTCAGCTTCAAGCTGCCTGTAAAGGTTTGCCTTACTGTATTATGTACGTTTATTTTGGATAGATTTCACCGTCTCAAGCCAAAATTTAGTTCATACAACTCGCTGATAACTCAATTAACTGTTGTTGAAGCCTCAAGTCCTCACTCAGAGTGGGTCCTCAAGACTCTTGTTTTCATAGTTTTTAAGCTACTTTTTGTACTGCCAGCACTTAAAAAGAAAAATAAAATAAAACAAGCCACAGACAGTATAAATAGAGTGTGGATCCTTGCCATCTTTGTCTTTCTCGAGTTTGTTCTTCTCAGAGATCTTCATCAGGGTTTGTTACTCTTCACCATGTAAGAACAGAGCTCAGACCTCCAGTTTTCCCCACAAAAAAAGCTTCTATGTTTCCTCAAGTCTTTCTTCTTTAATGTCAGATAGTCATTACAGATCAATGCCCTTTAAAAATTTCATCTTGGAGGGACACACAAGGAGGTAGATCACTCAAACACATTTGAAAGAAAGCAGACTTAGACGATACAACTGCAATGTTTCTCTGTAGCAGCAAGTTGTCATTGTTAGCCCATCATTAAGTTTAATAGTTGTGGAAAAACAGAGTGGGTATTTACTCACACACAATTTTATGACAAACAACTGAAATGGCAGCAAGATAAAACCACAATTTTTAGACAAACTGATATTACATCACATTAGTGGGCCACAGAATGGTTTGAAAAATAAACCTTTCGAGACATGGGAAATGACATTTTAGCATGCTTTAAACAGCTGAACTGCTCTTCAAAGCATAACAGTTTTCAGCTACTGGCAAAGACAATGATATCGCCTCACTTTGAAAGTAAAAAGCATTAAGCAATACGTTAAAGCTAGCCTACATGTAAATGGGCTAAATACTAGGCAAAGATTTTATTTTCCCTTTTCACATTTAAGATGATACTACAGTTTGTCACTTCTGTAGTTTATATATTGTTGTGCAATGCCCCACTGAAGTTTCACATCTACTCTGCAAAAAAGAAGAGCAGTAAACACCTTCCTTTTCGGATAGACACAAATGGTAAAGCCCGCAATGTTTGTCTGTCCTTATAGTTAAATGTTTGCTGTTTGTCACACAGGAACTGCAAGCAGAGTCTATGGATTCTTCTGAGAAATATGAAACCTCACGGTTCCACGCAACTTCAATACTGCTTTCTTTTTTTTTTTTTCCCCTTCCCTTCTTTTTCCTCCTCTTATCAGCTGTTTTCCCCAGCCCAAGACATATTTCCACCTATCTTCAACTGATTTTAATAGCCTTAAGGGAGAGAAGGTTTTTCCTCATGACTTCTGCTCAAGAGCCTGGCTCCAGGCATGTCTTGGACCACAAGAAGTTGGACGTTACGCTTTTGAGGCACTAGACGTAGGCTAGTAGTCAAGTTGCCCAAAGCTAAGGGGACAAACAGCTCATTGTCTTCCTATTTAAATACACGTCCAGTGAAGAAATTTTCCCTTTTTTTTTTCCCCTGAAACACATTAAGTACAGCTTGTAGTAACAGATTTGCCACAGTGCTGCATTCACGAGCCTGTGCTCCTAAGGTACACTGTCCCATTTTACCTCTGGATTCCTCATCCTCACTAGAGAAGTTAACAATGGATCTCTCCACATTCAGATACACACACATTCCTTTTTGTCTCATAATCATCTCGTTTATATTTCTTCTTCCACATTCACAAGCTAAGCCAAGACAAGCTCAGTTCTATGACAATTTTGCCACATACCTCTTCTCAGAGAGAGCTGCTGCAGCTGAACAAGACAACTGCAGCATCTTAATTATACTGAGATTCAATGTGTGGTTTAAAAGCAGAGCGTGACCAGTTTTCATTTGTCTGTTTTCAGACATTTAGAAAACCCCCACTGTCAGCATCTTGAGTAAAAAATAGGGGACATCTTCAGACCTTAGTAAAACCACTCAAACACATTAACTTGTTCAAATAAGCATCCCACCTCAAGTGACACAGTGGCCTGCAGTCTTCCTTGATCCATCCGCAGAGCAAGAGTTGTTTTTACTGAGTCAGTAATCATGCATTGTCTTCCAGAGGAAAAACTAGCCGGGTACCCCTGCTCGTAACTTCATGGTCTGCTGCTCCCAAGTCACGTTCCAGTGCCTCCTCTGAATTACTCTTTGTTCTCCTGCCATCAAGGCTAGTGGTAGCTGTATGGGGGCCTGAGGAACCGTTTGCAGTTATTGTTGTGTCACCATATGTCACAGTGAGGTCACCGTCGTTGAGAATAAAATCAGAATCCTCTTCTCTAAGCTGTTCTTGATTCTGGAATAAAGGAGAAAAGTCTTTGTACAGTGCACGACATTAGGTCTTTGCCAGAGAGATAATGGAACAGGAAAGTTTACCTACATGCCAATACAGAAGCAACAAGAGGTAAAATTCCACCTTAAGAAGGTGTTAAAAATAACCTTGAACCCAGTGTTTGCAAATCAGATTACTGTTCTCTGAATAACTACTGCTCTTGTGGATAGATGAGGGGGAGCTGAATCCAAGAACAGATTTATCAATTTAATAGCACTGGAAGTTCACCAGAAGCACAAGAGAGAAGCAGTCTATGGTGGTTTTTGCATGACAATTTAGAAGGCTGTATAGAAAAATACAGTCTTGAGACCACGCACAATTAAGTAATTCCAGATAAAGTCTGAGTTGCATCTTTCGCTCATTAGACAAGTTCAGAAGCAGAAGATTCATTAAACTGCTAAGAATTCATTAAGTCCAAGTTCTTTATATTCAAAGCTTCCTCAATAAATTGTGTTTAGTTCTTGAGCCAAACATTTCAAATATCTGCTTACTCTGTTTACCTGATACTAAACTGAGAATTACTTGACCTAGTTCTTAGGAACACTCCTGAGCCCTGGCAGCAGGAAAGGCTGATAAAAGAAAATGATTCCTTCATAAATTTGTGACTAGTTCTGAAGTGTTCTCTTTTCAAAGTCATGCAGGCAAGTGGCTCATGAAACCCTATGAACTTGTTTTGATGGAGATGGGATGAAATATATTGTCAAGGACTAGAAATCAGTGAAGTATAATAAAACACTTGAATTTAGTTTTCCTACGCAGCACAGTACAACAGCAAGCCATTACACAATAATTCACTGCTGTTTAGCATGGTCTTCACAAAAGGCTGAATTGGTCAGAAAATGGCTTTTCCTCACGTTCGAAGAAAATTCTGTCAATACTATAACCTTGCTGTCCTACAACTGAAAGCATTTCTCCATGTGAATGGCTCCATATTGCTTAGCAAGAAAATGAAATTTAGGTGCATGTATTGCTGCTCTCCCTGGTAGGCTGGATGCTGATCAGGCTACGTTCTCATAATACATCATTTTCTTCCACTACAGCAAAGGAAGGAGGGGACAGGGCACAGGCTGTGTGAGATCAGCCTGACCAGAAAACCCTACTTATATTGCAGAACAGGATTTCAGTACACTTGAGACTGACAATTTTGATTAATCTGTCTGTGATGAAAATCTCTGTGCCTAGCTAAATAAAACTTCCTGGGAAAACTGCCTGTCCTTATTTCAGGATGACAACCACTCAGAATAAAGCAGTATAACCCTCTGGATGATACAGAATGTCAACTAGGCAGGACTCAAAGAGGTGTCAGGAGTTTACCAAAACCAACAAAAAAAAGCGATGCATTTCAGTGTCAGGTACAAGACAAGTCCTACTTAGACTGAACGCTAATTTCTCAGAACCTTTGTGGCATCCAAGTTCATCATCACAGATTTACAGATAGTATTACTGTGATAAAGAGCACTGTTCTCAGAGAGCAAACAGAGTTTGGTATTCTTCCTTTCTTTGATTGAAAAAAAAAAAAAAACACCAAACTACTGAACTGTCTTAATGAGAAAAAAAGTAAAAATTAAAAGGTTCAGATACAGTGAACAGAACAGCCTTTATAAACTTCCTACAGCAAAAAATAAGCAAGTCTGGCGAATAAAACCAAGATGAATAAAAAAGGTACAGAAAACAACCAGCTGTTTAAGAAAATCTGATATCTTTCTATATTCCGTTTTTGAAGAAGAGACATTCAAATTAAGATGACAAGCAGAAACACTAATATGAATTAAAAAAAAAAAAGTAGTTTGTGACCGATTATATTCTAAAAAGCCCAAGAGGCTGCAAAGATGTATCACAAGTTGCCTGTGTTTGCCCTTGGAATAGCATCAAGGAAGGGTAGACAGTGCACTTGGAGGTACTGCAATCGATCCCAGGGCAATATGTGGAGCAGCTCAGCAAGCTCCACAGTCACCTCCTGACTCCACAACGCCACTTCACAGCGAGTCCTGGCAGCAAGGGCATACCAGATGTGAAACTAGCAAGAACACACATTACACCTGAGCTTCCCCAAAAGGCTGAACAGCTCTTGGAAGAAAAATGTTGAGTAGAGACAGGGGCCACAAGCCTTATACTAGATGGCAATTCCTAACTAAATCTTTTCTGGTTTTCCCAGGTTGTACATGCACGTACATAAACACAATCAGTTCCGGAGAAAGCACTGAGCTTTCTCTCAATATAGTGAACAAACATTGCCTTGTGTGAGGCAAGCTCCTCTTACTTGTTTCCCTTCTGAAGCACGCTGCAAACAGCAGGCAATTCATTTCACACGCTTCCCCAGAGAACATACATGAACAAACCCATGTAGTATACAGATTTGATGCTACGTTTACAAGCGCAGAGGATGCATGAATAAACCTACTGTGCTTCATGCAGCATGAACAATTCTTTCAAGAAAGACAGGAAATGTATCCAAGTCGGTCCCTCGAGACTTGAAATTCTTCCAAGAATAACCCTAAACTGGCCTCTACAATCCCCTACAACTCTGTTAAGAGTAACTTCAATTCGCTCAAGAAATGCAGGTCTGAACTTCACTACTTAAAAACTACCATGTCTAAGTACCTAAATCCAACATCCTACAAAAGACTGAATCTTGTTTCAACTTGGGCACTGTAACCCACAGACTTTACAGCACTCTGTCCAACTGGTTGTAAAATTTGTTTGAGAGGTCACATGCCTATGACCACATGCTGGAGATGTTCACACTGCTAAAGCCTATTTAGAGTTACTGCTCACAGCGTTGGTCTTTATTGTCTCTTAAGGCAGTGTGAAAATAAGCATGAAGCATGCTACATGTGCAAAACACGGGTAGGCACTATTTCCACTGCTACTAGTGGAAAGCACAAGCATCACAAGTGACAAAACTTACATCACAAGTTACTTATCTTGTGGCTCCAAAGTAAAAGCATCATGTACTATGCATGCAAAATATATTACAAATTAAATCTGATGCTCTGCTTAGAGTTTCTCTAGTTCTCAGCTGAGTTCAAACCCATGAAGGAAACTAAATTTCTGCTATAAAGCTAGATCCAGTAGGAAAAGGGGGTGAGGTGAGGAAATAACAGTTCTCACCAGTTTTGAGAGTTACTTTCCCCAAGACTCAGACATACTGCAAATGAAGTTTCTTTATTGGATTTACATATTTAGAAAACCACTTCTCTCTACTGCCATACCAAGTGTCACACTGTGTATGGTGCAAGAGCTAAACATTCAAAAAATGGGTGGGGACACGTGTAGGACACAAAAGACACCCCTGAACAACCAAGCAAAAACAAAGTCGCCAGCAGTGCTTCATCAGGAAAAGCAGATGAGAATACAGGCACTTCTTCCAAACAGGAAGAAAGGCTGGTAGAATAGGTCTTTGGTCTTTAAGCCTCTCAGACGTACCATGCAATTTTCCTGAAAATACCTCACAAAAGCAAAACTACTCCAAGCAGTTCCTGTTCTCCAAAAGACATGGCTCTGAGTTGCTTCATCTGCACTTAAGAAGGCAAGAAGCTTCCTTATCCTTCTAGCTAGTAATAAAATGGTGTAGTCACACCATTGTAGCAAGGGCAGCCATGCAAAGAAATGAAAAGCAATCGCAGAGCTAAGATATCTGGAAAGGAAACTAGAAATTGCATCTCAAATTAGTATTCCTAATCCTAATGTAGCAATGCACCAAAATAGGAACAATAAGAAAGACTACAACATGAAAGTTGTAGCCAAATTGTTAGAGAAAATGAAAGCCAAAACTACATGCTCATTCTGGTTAGATCCTCAGTTACTGGAAAAGTAATCTCATAAGATCATACACAGATAGCCAAATGTGCAACACACAAGTAGGCTAATTGCTCTGATGGATGCTTTCCAGCCTAGATCTGCTTTAAGATCTCCAATGGCATTGCAAAGATGGGAACAAGGCCAATTTCTTGCATTACTAATAGCTCTAAATAAGCAGTGGAAGAGGAAAGTTTCTTTGAAGTTTTACTGTCAGATAAAAGCAAGATTCTAATAATACAAAAAGAAATGAAGGGAAATATATCAAACTAGCATGTGGAATTTTCAACTTTCTGGGGAAAAATAGTAGAAATCTGGTCCTAAATTAATAGAGAACTGGCTGTGCTACTTAAACATAACAAAGATGTTACCATCACCAGGTTCTGGAGAACCTGCAAACTGGGATGATCACACAGTACTAAGATTTTATTTACAAGAAGTTCATAAAAAGTTGTAGATTTAAAGAGCACTTTACAGATAGGAATGACATGTATCAGGATCCTGCAAGAGTAACAGGAGAATGAAGCATTAATTATTGCAAGACACGGCTGCAAACATAGTGTACTGCCCTGCTAGACTGAGATAAGCAGCTGATTAACAGTTTCTGAAATCAGATCTTAAATTTCACTGTGGAAACAACAAAGGGACGTTCTACCAGATTTCTTTCTGGCATGGGTAAATATGTCAGTGTCTTTTCTGAAGGAGACCTCAATACAGCCTTAGCAGTAACAAGAAAACAATCTTGTCCAGAAATGTTAAGAACAGGCATAATATTTGGAAGCAATTTACTAAGATCACTTACCAGCACTTACATACAATAAGTAAATCATATCACCTTTTCTTAAAAGAATGCTTTGGTGAAGTTAAACACATAAAAAACAAAACACAAGTATTGAGTTGCTCTACTTACATCATAAACCTGGGGACTCGTCAGGCAGCGGGCTATGAGGCCACACCAGCTGGGTAGAGTTGTGGTTAACGGAGGGCCGCTGTGAGTGAGAATTGGCTTTAAATAACTTCAGTAGTTAAGGAAAGCAGAACAGTGCTTGAAAACCACTATTTAAAATAAAAAGACAGTTGTACATAAACATGGTTCTGTCTTTGATCTATGTGTTGCTCACTAATTGCATGTAACATCCGTTGAAAAACCTGCATTTGTGAAGAAATAAATTAAAAACATCTCCCTTCCCCACCCCAATTTTCCCTTGATCCTTTAAAGGGCAGCTTCTTTACCCACATGTTTTCTGCAAGGGCAACTAGCTAACTCCCTTAGTTTCATGTAGCTGCAACACTTCAAGCTTTTGCGCTTGCTGAAGTCAAGAGGAACAAGCAGAGGTACAAGTGCTTTAATGTTGGTCCAAGGGTATTTCTGCTCTGCAGGTGGGAGCAGAGTGTTGAGGTTGCAAGCTAGAGATAATGAGATACCTATGTGGCTTAACACATACCAGTGATGAAATATTGTTCTGAGGATGTTGCATGCATACTACAGTCACCTGAACTGGTCCACTATTAGCTGGCCAGTGAGCCACAGATGCAGCCAGAAGTAGACCTGGAATCTTCCAAATAAATCCATGTTTGTTCATACTATTACTCTAGGCTGATGATATGCCTGAGAAGTCAAAAAAATTACTCATGAATCAATAAGGGTGTCCCAGCTACAGAGCAGCATGCTAATCCTGCCTGGCTCCAGGCTCCAGAACAGAGCTGGGGGAGAGTGCTAAGATGTCCAAATGTTGTCTGAAATCAGGGCGAGTGTTTTGTTGTTTTTTTGTTTGTTTGTTTCCTTTTTCTTTAGGGCTTATTTTAAATGCAAACATGATACTGGTATTCTAGCTACTTTAAGCCTCTATACACAGCGAGAATTTACTCCACTTGTGAATTAATAGTTTTCCTGATTCTTACTCAACAGATGACCGTTTGGGGAAGGTCAGGAGAATTAAAAAATAAGTAAATTATTGTTTTAGCCAAGGGGTATCCCTCTCTGTTGGCAAAGCCTGGCATAGTGCATGTACTTGAACACACAGTGGTGTGATTATGCCACTGCAGGGTTATATTTCCTCCGTACCTTCTCTGCTAACAGTGCAGCTACATCCAGTCCTGGAAAGAAAAACTCTCCCCCCAGCCCTTGCACTAACCTAACCTGCCTACGTGTTTCCCTGTGTCGGACAGGCAAGCAACAAATCCATCATAAAAAAAGCAAACCCACTAAAAGACACCTGGTACTTCATCACAGTTGTTGTTTCCTTCATATTTAACGGTTGTGGCTGAACCCAGAGAAAAGCCCATGACACTGAATGAACTCCACATTCCACAGGAATGAAGTTCCAGTTACTCCTCCGCACAGTGCTCTGCAGAAAATAGCCAGCATTACAGCACACTGCCAAATACACCTTGCATCTTTTTCAAGTCAAATTTCATTCTTGCGAAGAGTGATTTTTGAGACAAACTACCTTTCTACTCAAAACCAAGTGAATACATCAGCAAAAAATATTTTGATATTTAGATGTAAATATAGAGGTGACAACTCTGTGGATCATCCTTTATGTGCAACTAAAACCCGCCCAGCAGATGTTTATCTGAATGCTTCCTTACAAGAGAAGTAACAGAATTTAACTTAAGATACAGCAAGACAGCTTTGCCTCTGCATGGCAGTTTCCTCAGCACAAACTTCACAGACAGCTTCACTAAAGCTTGCTAGCTGCTACTGAAAAAGCAAGTGCACTATCAGCATCCTTTAAATAAAAGTTTTGTGAAACAGCTCATTAAGCTGTAATTTCCACTTAGCACTCCCCCCTTGCCGTGGCTGTTGGGGACTGCACTTGTGCTGGTGTCAGCTGAAGGGAAGTCAGCATTGCCAGCTACTCCTGTTATTCATAAGGCACATCCCCTTTGCAAAGGCAGGGGAAGAGGACAGCTCTGCTTCTGCTTCCTTGGGGGGTGAGCGGAAGGCAGTCAGCCACAGCCAGGTCCTGCTCTTACCACACGAGTCTTTTTTTTTTTTTTTTAATACAAATATGGTATTTGAACAAAAATTGACCTTGATACACTTAGACACCAGCCACTATCTTCAAACTGTTTACTTGAAATCATTAATAGCTATGAATATTTAAACTATACACACACACACCCCCTTCTGGGCTTTGTCCCACTACCGTGTTATCTGAAAGCATCACTCACAGGTTTTACCCTGAACAGGGAAGTGCTATTTGGATCCAAATGCTTCCAACGCTACACCTTGGTTTCCATGGATGGCTGATCTTGATGTACAAAGCAAGGAAGGAAACAGGCCAGCAACATCTCAGTCACCAATGGACAAGACCCCAGGCCATCTATTCACATCTCAGGTGCAAGCTTCAACAAGATTAAGACCCTATCACAGGTATTTAGGTATCTTTAATACCCCACAAATTACTAGGAATCAAGTATTTAAATGTCTAAGTTTTTAGTTAAAAGGGACTTGGCATGGCCACAAGATTAGCTCTCCCATCTTCTACTAAGTGAATATAAGACATTGAGGAGGGACACCTGTACGATATATTGATGAGGAATATACTGACTAGTTTTAAAAAAAAGAAAAAGCCAACAAACTCAAGCATGAAGGATGGGACAGATACATAAAAGTTATGAAGTTCAAGCAAGGCTATCTAAGTAGCATAACAGCAGCTTCAGAAAGGTTGTAGAGTACTATATAGACACAGAAAGACACACTCTACATTCATACTCATAGGAAGAGTAAATTGTCTGTCTTACTGTTAAGCAAAACCTCAGCTCACTCACTTCTTTTTTTGGTCATCTGGCAAATGTGCGATAGCATGCGTGAAACGGAAATGTCCATTTTCTGAGTCAGCAAGGTGAAGTTTCAGTTGTGCCTTGTCAAATACTTAATCTTTATCATGCCTGACTCTCTCAAGTGCTTAAAGCTGCATATGGGTATGTGGCAAGGAAAAAAGTCTGAATATTTCACGTCTTGAAGTGAAGCTGTGTTTTCAGAAGGATACTTATGGTCAAAGCTATACCACAGCCTGAAGAGCCAAGCACTTTCCTGCTTCGTTCTGTTCCTTCTTTCAGAATCTGGGCCATCCTAAAAATAAGATAAAAGCATATTCATTATTATGGGGAGGGAAAAAAAAGAAGTCATACATTCCAGTCATTCACATTATAATGGCCTATGCAAAGCCAAATGACTTCAGTGCTGTACAGAGACCGCAGGAGAAAACTATTTAGAGACTTATACTGATGTTACTTTCCCTAGAAAGACCAGAAATGACTGTGCAGAGAACAAGCAGGCTCTCTTCATTATCCTCAAGTTACCTTAATAAACTCCCTACCACCAAGTTACCTTAAGCCTTAAATTTTACCTGTCACTGCACTGACCATGTGATAAGGAAAGAAGTTCAAAACTGAGAAATAAGCCTCACTGATACCCTGTCCCCCACCCAACTGTCAAATAAATGCACTGAGGCAGTCCAGACTGATTCATTTTCATTACTCAGCTGGCTTCCTTAACTCAAGGGAAAACATAAAATACTCCTAAAGCCTACTACACCCTTGAAAGAACAAGAGAATTTACTATACCTGATAAATTCTTGCAAACCTGAATAAACACATCAGGCCTAAAAGAAACATGCTTAACAGGGAATCCACATAAAAATCACAATTGAGGAAGGTTATGCAAATTTCCTAAGTGCTAGATCACAGCAGCCCTCAGAAGTGCTAACAGTTAAATATAGTCCCTTCACTAGCTGTGCTGCATGTCGTCACACCAGCTGGTCTGCAGCTGCATTTGTGGTTTTTCTTTCCTCTTTTTTTTTTTTTTTTTTTTTTTTTACACTTTTGTTACTTTTTTTTTTTCTTGGACAGAGACCAAAGTTAAACCCAGGAAAACAGATGATGTGAGAACGCCCTGCATGAATCATCTTCCAGCAGTGTTCTTCTCCAGCAGTTTTGCTAGAATTGCCCTGTGTACTTCCCATCTGCAGAAAACCCTTTGATTCAGCAAGAGTTAAACCTCAGTACAAACTCCTTTTTCCCCCTGCCTTATCCCTAACTTTGTATTTTCTTTAACTGTGACTCGCAGCCAGTCTTGGCTTTGTGAGAGACAGAGGAGTCCAAAGGGAACTGACTAATGGATTCCAGTAGGAATGTAATACACAGCTAAAGAGGGAAACAAATGGGTAAGTGCTTTATGTTTACATGGGAAAAAAACAAACAAGTGATTTCCACCCGACACTGAATGAGCACAGAGTACTCATGTTCTGGCTGTGGCTATTTCCTGTTAAAACAACTTCTCAAATACTGACAAGCTCAGTCTGAAAGTCATCTTACCCTGATACCGCTTCCTAACCTTGGTTTTATGCCAGAACTGTGGCCTTCATTGTAGATGGTGTTTGGAAGCCTGGCCTTCTGGTTGCATCCGGACACACACAAAATCTACAAGAATCTATTATGTGCTGGACCCAGGCTTCATAAAAAGAACTCAGAGATGCCTAATTCAGTTTCTGCAATGAAATAAATGCTTCCTGAGCAGGTAAGCATCTGCAGAACCTGTCACAAAAAGGAAAAGAAAGAAAAAAAAAAACAAAACACAAGAAAACCAGCATACCTACACGAGACAGGAGACCACTAATAAAAGATGATCCCAAATGGAGTAACAGCCAGCCTGAACACCAGCATCTTACAGCTTGGGGTTTACAAGGCAAAGCTCACATGCTTGTGCTCTGTTCATCCTCTGGCTTCAGTCATCCTGTTTCCTGCCATTCGACCTCACTTTCCTCCAGCAGATGCCTACATAACCAATCAGTCACACTACTGAATGATTACTGTCAAGCAGTACACTGTCTGGGAGAGTGTAAACTAAGGTCTGGACAGAGGAACCTGTGATGAAAGTGTCCTTGCACAGAGGAAGCTCCCAGTCAGACCTCAGGAAACGTTTTCTTTCCAGACTATTCACTCCTCCTGTGAATTCACTCAATTTATAGACGAGGAAAACTGAAGCTTCTGGTACAGACAACATTCTTTCAGGAGTCTTATTTGCACATAACAAATTGCATCACAAAAAAAAAAAAAAAAAAAAAGCAACTCAGACTGTTACTGATGCACAGAATGCTGCACTAGAGATTCACAGCACGTTTGCTGAAGATGACAACTTTCCAGCTCTTCTTTTGCCTCAAGCAAGGTAGGTGGCTAAAGCAAGATCAAGCCAGGCAATAGTATGGCATACAGGAGTTGAAGTCTGAATAGCAAACTTAATCTATGATTCAAATCAAGTCCAAAGGCCAAAATTCACTATCAACTACTGGACATAAACCATGATGATTATCTATGTGTCAGTCTGAGGGAGGTCCGTTCATGCTGTAAAATGTTGAAAAGCACGTTGGGTGGTGGGTGAGGGAAGAGGAAAGCACATTGTTAAAGACTGTGTTAGTAGCTTTGGGAAGAGTTTTGGTGCCTTCTATTTACACACACATGCCAAAATTTGAAATGCAAAGAGACACTGCAGTGTTATATGCAACAACACAATGTTTTTTGTGGGCATTACTTGAATACTATAAAGTAAAATGCATTATTGATTTGCCAGCTAAGAGAAAGGTTTTACCCATGCACGTAGCTTCTGCAGTTCTTTATCCTAAGTTATAAAATAAGATCAGCCTAATAGAGAAGTTATGTAATTACTTACTCCTTGTAAGACTTGAAAGCTGTCATTAGTAGGTGGAGGATCCTGATCTGGGTCAACCCCAACCCTACAGAAACATTAGGAAAACAAAGCAAGTGGTGTTACTGAGGATTGCAAATGCTGTGAGTTTGGCAGAATGTGTTTTAAAAGCACCTTAAGCATCCAGCAAAGCTGCATTCAGAGAGATAAGAATAGTTCGAGGAAGAGCTGTCTATTATTCCCGTGCGGTTACATAGGAACAAACACGATGCTTTTTCACTTAAGCAGCTACTACTACCTGTAGATAACAGCTTTAACTCTACCTCAGCATTAGCTTTAACTGCTTACCTTTGTTGCCAACTCTTTTAGGACACTGGCAAATACTACTTTGGGCCTAAACAGGTGAATTGTAGGTGAGATCCTCTTCAGTGAAGATTCCTCATGTCCAGCAGCAGAAAACCAGAGACTAAGGATAAATCCAGCCTAAATATTTGACATGGCAAATAACTTTGAGCTATTCTCAGGCCTGTCTCTCAGCTAACATACTATTAAGAAAATGAAAACACAAAACCCATATACACGCACCATTTTAAGGCACTGACTGTACAAATCAACAAAAATACTTCATGAAGGTTTGTAACATTAGTTCTTGCAAATTTTGTTCACCTTACACATAACAGCCACAATGTATTAGCAGGCAGTCTATCTAGTTCAGCCTCTCATCTCAGGAAGGGTCATTATAGTAAGATGATGGATGACTACTGTCTTTTGCATAGATAGCAGGCCTCTTACTACTGGACCATCCTTCTACATAGCCCTCCTATTCAGGTATTAAAACAGGTATTTAATCTGACCCTTTTAATTATGTTCACGTTTTTCTGATCCGTTGTTCAGATTAGACTTGTCCAGCCTCAAATCCCACTCATGTCTCAATCTCTGGTGGTTAAAGTCCTGCAATGAAGTACAACCTCATGTGTAAGGCAAGACTGTCAGTGTCAAACCATTGTGTTTGAGTTCTATGGAGTTATATAATGAGTGTAGAAAAATGCATGAACTAACAAAAACACTGCCTTAAACAGCTCACATTTATTTTCCCCTCCCTAGGAAGGGACTGAGCTGGTTTAGTGTCATTTATTTCCACCTAGGCTTTGTGTCAGCTATTTCTAGCCACAGTGTCTATGCAACCTCCCTTCTGAGACAGGATAACCAGAAACCGACAGAATACTGTAAGTAAGACCATATCATTTGTGCATCCAGGGGATGCATGCTTGTGTAAGGCACACAGGGATCCACACATGACTTACCATCAGACACAGAAGATTGCATTGATTAAACTAAAACAGAACACCGTTAAACAGCATACAGGGCAGAACTTTCTAATAGTATTTTTCTTTTTTTTTTTTTTAATAAAAAAAAAAGGTAGGCATTGAACTCAATGTTTAAATCATCCTTGTGGACTCAAGGCTTCACAGAACTTAATGGAGCTCAGAGAAAATCCAGGAGGTCGCTCTAAGACAGCCTGCAGCATCCTCACATTGAACTAGTGCTGACTGGCTATTGCTACTCCAACTCCTCTGCTTGGATTTTTCCTGTCTCTTTTCCTTCTTATTCCCTTTATTTTTCCTTTCATAGCAGAGAAACACAAAGAGAATCATCTTAACTCTTCGGCACATTTGGCCTGAGAATACATTGGCACTGACCCGCCTCAAAGACTAAAAAGCTTTGCAAATTTAACACTAGACAGATGGGAGTACTGGTCAGATAGATTGAGCACTGGATTGTAACACGCCAGAATGAAATGCCACACACAAGAGCTTGGAAAGGTTACAAGGGCTTACACGTTACTGCTTAGGCTACTGCTAAGCAGTGAAGAGATAAGAAGGATTTTCTACAGACAAACAAATCAGTTATCTGATGAGGCCTCACTCGAAGCTGACAAGCAACATCAGGATACAGGCTCAATATGGCCATATACAAAATTGCACATTCCTTCATAAATACAAATAATTAAAGATTTGCGGCTTTTCTCACTCCAACTACACATCAGGGAGGCTCAATGCACTGCGAACAGCCACCATGCTCGATTTAGCCTTGTGACTGGCCATATAAATGGGGAGTTCACAAAACTTCTTCCAGTAGACAAACATATCTCGAATACCCCAAATAGTTTTAATTCCCTGTGCTACACATTCACTTCATATTATATAAAAGCATAAACAATTCAGAACATCGCAGGTTTTATTTGATAAGGTTGTGTGTTTGATTTTGCAGACTTCTTTGCTTCCCCAGGGCAGTGGAACGCGGCTTCGGGGACCACAGCAGTATGATCATACTGCTCAGTGAAAAGTCATAATTCACTACAGGTCAAGTTCACTGACTTACTGAATAAGAAAAACACCTTTCTATATTAAAACATTTCAGCTTTCAAGAAATAAAAATAAAACAAATTCTTACTACATAAGTTTCTTTCAACACTGAAATAATACAAAGACACAGGTCCCTATTTTTAACAGTTTCCAAAGTTATTCTTCAGGGTAATTTGAGTATTTCTAATGAATTTCTTTCCTTTAATACACTTAAAAAAATAAATTGCTGTCTCAAAGCTTGTTCCTCAGTTCAGTTTAACACCAAATGCATTACTATTTTGAATTCCCACAGCTACTTTTTGTATCTTTCAACCAGCGTAGAGTATCTTCTATCCGATGCACTAGATAGAAAACATTTATTATTCATAACAAGTCTGTCTAATCAAGTTTCAAGATACATACACCCAGCTCTAATGACAAGCATGGTTTTTGTGGGCCCTACACCCCCCAGTTTCTAACAAAGTCCCCTGGACCAGCACTGTTTAACATCTCTGCCAGTGACATGGGCAGTGGGACTGAGCTACCCTCAGCAAGTTTGCCAATGCACCCAGCTGTGTGGTGTGGTCCATATGCTGGAGGGAAGGGCTGCCATCCAGAGGGACCTGGGCAGGCCTGAGAGGTGGGCCTGTACGAACCTCATGAGGTTCAACAAGGCCAAGTGCATGGTCCTGCACCTGGACAATCCCAAGCACAAATGGAGGCTGGGCAGAGAACGATTAAGAGCAGCTCTGAGGAGAAGGACCTGGGGGATACTGGTAGATGAGAAGCTCAACATGAGCCAGCAGTGTGCGTTTGCAGCCCAGAAAGCCAACCATATCCTGGGCTGCACCAAAAGCAGCGTGGCCAGTTGATGTGGGAAGTGGAGCGTGGGGTGTTTGTAGCAGTTCTAGAAGCCACCAGCTGGAGAAGTCTAGGATTCTGTGTCTTCTCCACCCTTATCAGCATCTTCATGCAAAGCATTCTGACAACCCTTGCTTTTAAAAATAGATCCCAATAGATTCTGTGGGCTGAATCACCCACAGAAGTCCTTCTTACCTGAACAGTTGTATGACATACTCCCGTGGAGTGCCTAAAACCATCCGTGTGATTACGGATCACAGGATCACATCCATAACTTCTCAGCTTTCAAGTCCTCACAGGCTAGAGACACTAGTTTTGCTTCATTTTTTTACCCATACACAAGAGTTAAAGGTACTTTTTGTTTGGTTGGTTTTGTCTTTAAGCTGAAGACAATGAATGATCCACACTCACCCAGCTCACAAGAAGAGAACTAATTCAGAAGTGAGGAGTATCTACGGCACTGCAAAAGAGGAGATGCAGCAGTGGCATGCCATAGAACAGAAAAAGAGCACACGGTGTTATAAAGATGAAGAAAGCCAAGCACCAGGTTAGTTCGGTATCAGGGAAGGCAGCTCAGTGTCACCTGAAATACAGCCAGCGGCTTTCACTCATCTCTTCCACCGATGGAACACGGTCACCAACTCTGGTACAGCACAAGAATGGAAAGTGAGTAACAAAACGCTCATGAGATGGTAGCTTGACAAAGCTGCCTAGCAAAAACAAAACAAAAACCTACCCAACCAAAGAAGACACGACATACAAAAATAAGAATGGCAGAACAATGACAAAGTGACAAAAATCATGGAAATTAACAAAAGCAGCCCTTAGTGATTGACATGTTGAATAATATTCCTCATTTTTTTCAGATTCAGGCTAGGAAAGACACCCACATTCATGACAGGCCATCAGTCTGTATAAGTTATATTCAACAGCTCTTAAGAGAATTGCTACGTGTAGACAGAACTCAAAGACATGCTCCCAGGGACTTGGGACCTGTGCATTTTCTAAAAGAAAGTAATAATATAAAGTCAAGACTGAAAACTACGTATATATGAAAGAGGCTGTCATCACTTCCTAGTTTCAGAGTCAAATACAACCGGTAATACATGCATAAATCACTCAACTGGTTTAATTAACAGTTAACTAACGATCTTCATCATAATACTTCAGACACTGTTTTTGATCCTTCCTTTACTTTTTTCTACTGTACCTAAAAACAAGTGAAAGCATGCTTGGTTTCTAGTACTATCAATATAAATTCCTTAGCAGTTTGTGTTTTTTTCCCCCCATTCTTCCATTAAGGTGTGCTGTGTGAATGCCCATATGAAATAAAAGCCCAGATTACCACAAATCCACAGTGGCTTCACTTTACAAAGAACAAGTATATGCTTCCTGATTCCAAGTTTGTGTGTTTAAGAACCAAACATTTAAGGCCATAGCCTGCACTACAAAGAACATGCACTAATGCAATCCTTGAAGGCTGAAGCAAATACCAAACTTTGGATAGATTTATTTTTTGGACTGTTGGTTCAATAGCTCGCTCTCATGCCAACACACGCCACAGGTCAGAACACTCCGCTTCAAAAGGCCAGCGCTGAGAAAGCTCTGTATATGTAGCAAAAACTAAAATGAGAACTGTCCAACAGCTTCCCTTTATGACTTTTCTCTTTGTTGTGTCTCTGCCAAGCTCATATACTGAAGTTTTCCCAGATGTCTATAATGAGTACAGCATTTTTGGAAAATTTTAGCTATTTTGGAAGAGTTCAACTGCTTCTCAGAAGGTGGCTGAGGAAGAAGGCAATTCCCACCCCAATATTAAAAAAAATATGAAAGCACTGATCACTAAAAATCCCTAGAACTAGGTAAGCTGCTACAGATGTTGTTTTTAGGGCACCTTCAGGGATTCCTTTACTTGACCTAACCAAGATAATGGCTCCTGAAACTGCCCACAGAGGCTTGTTAGAGCTCAGCAGTTAAACCTGTATCACCCCATTTGCTCTAGATACATCAACCCAGCTCCTGTGGGTCTTTCCCATACTCTCTCTCTGTGTAAGGAATTGCCATGTTTAAGAGCACAAGAACTGACATAAGAAAGCATCTCCCATGCTTACACCCAGACATCCAAAAGAAGAAGCAATCCCTCTCCCACCAAGGAGATACTGGGGACCAGTTCAGCAAGGGTGGAGAACTGAAGGCTGTCCTGCACCTCCATTAAGAGATTCATGACAAGAAATTAGAGGTTGGAGGCAAGAGAAGAGGAGAAACCAAATGTGAGAAGAATACTGGAGAAAACAGTGCAGAAAGATATGGCAAAATAAAAAAGCCCACAATGAGGGGAAAGGCACAGTGCCTGCTGCGTGGGCAAAAGAAAGCAAAAGAAGTCAGGCTTAGAAAATGATAAACCAAATGAAAGATGTAAATTGCAGAAAAAGTGGAAACAGGCAGCAAAAGAGAAGGATATGACCTCTGATCAAACATTCCCCACACCAGCCCTGGATATAACAAGGTTGGATTCTGGCATCAACACTCACTTCTTGTCATTGCAGCGCACGGAGGCACAGTATTTAAGGAATGCACATTTTACCCAGCAACTAATAGCTGGGCCACCCTGGATGATTTAATATAATATAACCTGAGACTGACATCAAGCTGTTTTACTATCACCCCAGAGAGCTGCTATGTGAACTATCTACCTGTATGAGTTTCAGTATTTCCAGATTATTTTTTTTCAGTTTGCTTAATGAGGAAAAAACACTAGATAAAAAGCTAAGAAGATTATAATTGCAAAGTCATATAGAAAGTGATAAAAATTTAAGTTATCATCATTCAGGCAACCTTTAACTTTTCTCCCGAAAGATAACAAAACTATATTAAATCAAAAGATACTATTCTCACGTTTAAGATTTAGAAAGACTGATTAGCATAATTGAAATTACTTTATTAAAATACACAAACACTTGAAGCAGCTTATGATGGAGAACAGGCACTAATTTACCTGCTGCTTCATTCAAAATGGAAAAAAAACAGGTCAAACCCTAATGAAAAGTGGCAAATATTTTTCAGTGCAAATGCTAGAAGCTCCTCTTTTTTTTGTTTTCCTTCCTGTGACAAATAAATGAAACAAGTCAGCTACTTTTCAGAAAAGAGGAACTTTGCCAGTAGTTCTGATTTATAGGGCTAATTTGCTGAAAGCATTAAAGCTTCATGCAGGAAATTGTTTCATCATTTTAGTCTCAAAGGAAGACTTTCATTTGTAAAATTCAAGTAATGCTTTAATTTCTACAAAAAAAAGCAAATCTACTGCTAGAAAAAATTACCATTTATGATTCACATACATGAATGTTTCACAGCCAAGACAGCCAGCAAGTTCAAATATATGACATCATGGCTTTAACACTAATTTCTGGTGTCAACTTTTAAGCTTGCTTAGCATTAAGTGGCAGAAACCATCAGCATCTGAAGATCTCATTCTTTTTGCTTGGATTTTGATGCCACAGTGTCACTTTCCCAACCAGTTCAGCAGTAAACTCAAACTAAGTCTCCACTGCAAACTGTAGGTCCTTTGCTTGGTTGTACCTTTTAATCCTGAGCACTGGACACTGGTCAGAAGACCCAAGCATGCATACAACCATTATGCAATTAATAGGCACTTGCCTTTGCCTCTGAGCCCCAGCAAAGCAATTCGGGGTCCTTGCAAAGGCACTGCCCCACGTACACAGACTATGGATGTAGTAGTACCAAGCCAGGCTGAAAGTCGTGGCTGGAGTCAGCTCTCCGGTACTGTTCTACTTAAATTGTGCAGACTAACCTTAAATAAGATCCCTTCCTGTTTATGCCTTCCTTCGCTCCCCAGTAACTGCTGTAAGCTTCACACGAGAGCTGGACTTGTGAGAGCCCACACAAGCCCTAACGTTTAAATGCAACACACAAATGGCGTTAGTTTCCTATTTCCCTTCAGTCACTTACTCCAGGAAACAACCAGCCTTCTATCTTTTATTCTCCCTTCTGCTAAATGGCGCTATAGAGAAGCAGCACTTATTTCCAGCCTCTTGCGGTGCAATCTAATGGGTAAGTGCCAGGGCTCAGAAAGCATCCAAAAAAAGTGCTGTGTCAGCAGCGTGCACTGCAGCTGCCTGAGGCACTGAGACAGAGGAGCATCTTCATCTCCTCCTGCCGACCTCCTCCACTGCCTGCAAAGGAATGGAGGAAAGCAGCACACTTCCAAAATTCAGCTGGAAACTAATCTGTCCCTGTCTTCTCTCTGTAAGGTCAGACAGGTGTTGATCTCCTGCAGAAAAGGGTTTTGTCTCAGACTCTACTTTACCAGAAATAAGTTCCTAACTCATCAGCTGCACACGGCTGCCACCTCCTGGTACACATTTGAATTCGACCCTAAAAAGTGCAGCCTCACTGACCAACACAGCAGTGCCCATCAGGGCAACTGTGTGCAGACCCAAAGAATTATCTCAAATACTTCTTATGTAGAGTTCCCTCTTCTACATGATATCCTTCTCTTAATGGGACAGCTCATGAACCAGGCCCATGGAATCTCATTATTGAGCCCAACTAGACCTGTTAAAGGAGTAAGTGCAGCTTCTTAGATGCTTCCACAAACTGTTTACTGGGCTAGACTGCATAAAAAAAAAAAATAAAAAACAGCAAGTTACTTCCACTAGTTTCCAGTTGGCCAGGAGCTAGGACACGCCAGAATTCAGTCCTGTCCTACTGCAGATGACTGAAGGAGCCTCGTGGCAGAGGTAGTGGTTGAATTTCACCTCAGCCAACGAAAAGCTGCAGGCAGATCTTGGCAGACTTCTTACCTGCACAGCACATACCAGAACTCATCCCCTGCTCCTTCATACCCCATTCTCCAGAGAGCCTATGTACACTGCTGGTTATACAGACACTCTGGCTGCTTGGCTTGATGAGGTGTGTAAGTACAGTTGTTCCTTATATATCTCTATATCTCTGGAACTTGCATTGAAACACAGTTGTAAAGTACAAAAATTGATTTGTGTGGCACAAGAAAAAAGAAACCAGAATTTTCCAATGTGTGCTGTTACAGCAGTGATTTACCATATTTCAGCTCTAGTACCTCTCTCGGGCTGGAGGCATTTGACATCAGATACACGTGCTATGTTCTTGGCACAGAGTGGTTCAGCTCTGCTCAAGTGTATATCCATATTGACAGGATGTCAGCCAGTCAGTCTGACAACACGGTTTTGATAAGCTCATCCTGTAACTCCAAAATTTGCTGTTGACATTGTTTTATCAGACATTTTAGCTTTATCTACTTCCAATAATAGGAGTCTCAGGCATTTCTGAGCATCCTAGCCATCCTTTTTTTTTTTTTTCCAACCTAGAAAGCACCTGCTACCTATCGCCACAAGAAATTTACTGAAGACTTCCAAAAAACAGCAATACACCTTGAGAATGGTTAATTCTTCCAAAGACTGAAACTGTTTTCTTTATCCTAGCATGATACAATCTTTAGCAAGATACAATCTTTAGCAAGATTGTATCATGCTAGGATAGGAAAAAACAATAGTAGACAAATTCTGATCAGCACAACTAGAATGTGAGACAAAGTATGCTTTCAAGGACCAAACAGCATGCATAATTTACATACGAAAAAATGCACTGGAGTATTTGTACAGCGTGCTTGCATTAATTCCACTCTATTTACCCTCCCTCCCCACAACAGCCAAAGCTTTCACAGAATGAAAAACATACGTAGTCTTTAACAATGAGGGATTCTTGATTCTCTAGGACTTCTGTTGATAAGCAGCCTCAAACATGAATATACTTGCAGCCCTACAGTACTAAGTATTGGCCCAGATTTAAAGCCAAGTGGCTATACTCATGCTGCTCACCATTTTCACAGGTCTCGTCAAAACAGAAGAAACACACTGGAAAGACTAGCAGGTTCCCATTTACCACAGTTGTAAGGTCATCAAAACATTTATCCAAAGAAACTTAAGTGCATTTTTAGCACTAAAGGCTCCATCTAACTCAATAAATAGAATAGGGTCATTACCTAGAGCCAGAAGACAGGGAAATGACTAATAGGACAAGAAGTTGATATGGTACTAGATAGGCTAATTCTTTCTTTTCAGTACAGGGGCTACTATCCTGCAATGCTATCCCCTATCCTACAGGGTTGACAAGGATCAGGTACCTAATCACAGAGCATCAGGGAGCTGAATCCCGGCAGCAGCCTGTGCATTTTCTTTACCTGCCTGCACTAACATCTTCCTCTATATAAGAGAGCGTTCTAAACACCCAGAACAGCTCTAGCAAGCATCAAACAAATTCTGTAGGACTTCTCAAGTTGCCACCTGAAAAGGGAGTTTTCCCCAGCATACATTTGCATACTGACCTGATGTTCAGCCATGACAGCATGGGAGTTGTACCTCCACCAACAATCCACACAGTGAAAAAGACTATGAGGAGGGTTGTTGAGAACATCATTTGGTGCGAGTAGGTAGCAGTATCTCGTATGGCCAGAGCGAAGGCCATGGCTCCCCTGAGACCTATGCAAAAGAACAAAATAGCAGAGTTTCAGAAGTGTGCAACCATGCCTATTCATAATATGGAATCTTTCCTTGCTCCCTCCCTGCCACACTGGCTCAGTGACAGGCAAAAAGCATGGGGCTCAGCCTGTTCTCAGGTGAATTTCAGTTATCTCATTTTCCTTGGTAAATTATACTCTGGGATGTTTTAAAGCATGATTTGCCCTCGTGCTTTTATGTGGCTTACAGAAAACACAGTGATAAGGAGTAACTATTTCCAGAAATTAACAGGAAAGGAATGGACAACAGCAAAATACATTTTGGAAATCAAGGAGCTCCCTGAATCTAAATGAAAATAGACACTTTTCCATTTGATTCCATAACCAAAACTTAACTTCTTGATATGGAATTGTTATCCCCTGGAAAAATACGTTAGTTAAGAACATGCTTACAGGCAGAACACATTGCTTCCCCTCTCCTACAGATTATGAAACTCCCCTATCAAGGGCAAACAACTGGTCACCTGCAAACTTCTTTAGGAGGGGAGTCACCAAACAGCTCTAGAGGTCATCTGGTCCAACCCCCTGTTCATGCAGGGCTACCTATCGCTGGTTGCCCATGTTCAGACAGCTTTTGAAGATCTGAAAGGAAGGAGACCCTGCAGCCTCTGGACAACCTGTGCCAGTGTTTTGTCACCTGCAGAGCAAAGAAGTGCTTCCTGGTCTTCACAGGGAACCTCCCACATTTCACTTTTTGCCCACTGATTCTGGCCCTGGCACTGGGCACCGCTGGAAATAGCCTGACTCCATCATGTCAAGTAAAGGAGTTTAAGTAAAATACATTTTTTTTTTTTCAATTAAGCAGGAGAAGTCACCCATAAATGTCTCAATTCTCTCAGAAGATACCTATTTCTGCACAACGTGCAGATCATCTCACCTAGAACTAACTTTCTGGAAGAAATACATCTCGATTCCCCGCATTGCCGTCAGATGCTCAACATTTCAAATGAAAATACTCCATGCCCAACATAAGGTGACTGCGGACTGCCAGCAGCTGGCAATTCAAGGTGTCACCCTTCTCAGACATGACACTTCATGTAAAACTTTAAAGATACATGAGGGCATGCTGCAATTGTTAAGTCTTCCATTTAAAAAACCTACATGTGAATTATAAAAGCAGGCAACAGATCTATAAACATCTTACGATTTAAAGATTATTATTGCTTTATCAAACATTTTTGCTCTTTTACCTGAGAACATCATCATGTGCTGAAAGTTCCAGCTGATCTTATGCCTTCTGCCCAGATTCAGCAAGAAAGACAGAGGGTAGATGTGCGCAGCTCTGCCCAAAAAGATCGCAACCTGTTCACAGCTGAGGGTTAAGGATTTCACTTTCCTGGGGTGTGCACAGTCAGGTACCTGGCTCTAATACGAACCTTCTGCTTTAATAGGAAATTTACATAATGATAAAGTGCTCACGTTAGCCCTGTCTATGTAAAACAGACTTTCACCAATTACTTGCATAGAGAACTCACTGCACAGATTACAACCTTTAACTAGCATACCCACTTTTTTTTTTAAGGCACAGTGAAATTACACCTAGTATTAAGGCTACCAGCTGTACAAATGAAGACTTAATATCACATCTTGAACAACTACCACCGACATTAGATTGTGTATTTTAGACCAACAGAAATGCAGCCCCAGTGCAGAAGGAAAGCCAACATACGAGACCAGCAAGTGGCCACTCCATTACTGCTCCTGCAGAGGCATGATCTCTTACGGGCTGGCAGGCACTTCAGAGTTCAGAGAAACTACAAAGATGAATCCAAAAACAATTGCCAGCACTATAATGAGGTTCAAAAAGTATTTTTAAAAAAGTACTGCAGAAATTCATGACAATAAGCAGTAAGCTCTTTCCGTGCTGTACCGTGGTTCCAGTGAATATCAGAGAGCTGAATACATGCTCCAGCAATTCAGGAACACTTTGGTACAAAATAGGGTGATAAGCTCTGAAATCCTATAACACACCGACACAATCAGAAATGAACTGAACACTGTTCACTTGCTGCTGGGATAACAACATCAGAGAAGTGAAACAGCTCTCTTACAGAAAAATAAAGTAGAGAAGAACTTTAGATATGTCTGGGTTGTTGCCATACCCAAATATGGATTTAAAACAACACAGCTTACAGAAAGTTATGTCTACAAGAAACTAAGATTTTGATCATTACTTTCTACAAAAAAGTTCATGTAATTGTTACATTTTTATAGCCATCCTTTTGGGAACTGCAAAAATCATTACCCATCATAACCAACATACGTAGGAAGAATGACTAGGGTAGTGACACTGAGGCTTTAGCTCTGCCTTTGCAGTCCAGCCTTTTTCAACAGATTTGCAATAAAATTAGACAGGTAGGAAGAAAACGTAAGAAAAGAAATACTGAAAAGAAGCATAGATAGCATAAGCTGGACAGAGAACAGAAGGCTATATCCAAAATGAAAAAATGCAACACTTAGCACACCAAACAGACATCTATTCTATCCACATCTTCATCCAACAGCCATAGGGCTCTGGGACACTTTTTAGTTCAGAAAAACAGATAGGAAGACAGAGGAAAACTCTTCACTTCTCTGAAGCAATGAAAATGGCCAAATAAAGACTTATGTGATAAAACAGATGAGATAAAGAGTAAGAAAAAAAAAGTATATTTTATATTAGGCCATCTTTTTTTTTTTTTTTTTTTTTTTTTTTTTTTTTTTACTGGGTTTTATCTCCACGGCAGATAGCCCTACTCCTGCAGCTGGTAAGGAGGAAACAAGACAGGAAGATCTGTCTCCATTGTTTGATTCATATAATTGCTCTGTTTTTTTTAAGCACCCAGTAAACCACGAAGGAATAGGTATATAGGCTGTTTCAAGTTGGACAGGGGGAGAAAAGTATCTAATGACTCCCAACTAATCTGAGTGATACTACCAGCAAAGTGCTCTGCTCTGAGGCAGCTGAGAACCAGTCAACAAGTCAGACAGGGATGAGGGGAACTGGATACCCACCTCCAACATCAGCATCTCTCAGCACTGTGTTCCCTTCATGGTCTGCACCACAGCTCAGTGCCTGCCTCCTCCATCACCCGAGAACCTACCTCCACCTTTAGAATATTGCTTAAACAATTTGCTCACAGTCCCTTTTATTTACTTGAAGTTCTTTTGCTTTATTTACTAGAAGTTCTTTTGCTTTGTTCAAGGGACAGCTGGAAGTGAAGAGGAAAAAAGTTCTTCTTAGGTCCCAAAAGTTTGAATACAACAGCATTAGAAGCACTATTTGGCATCAATAGCCAAGGCAGATGATAAAGAATTGTTTTTTTGCTGTCCTCCCTCCTCATCCCAACAGAACTTGACAAGAAGCAACAAGAACAGGTTTTTTTTTGGATCAGACTGTACAAAAAAAAAAAAAAAAAAAGTGATAAGAAAGAAGTTTAAGGTGGTCATAACCTCATCTCTACCTTATTTGTCCTGATATCTTTTGGAATCTGATTCACAAAGCTATTATTCCATTTATATGGACTGAAAACCACACAGTGCTTCCACTTAAGTTGTCAACATCTCCACAGCAAAGACTGGGAAAGAGCAGAAGGATAACCAGCTATTATTTCACTTTTTTTTTTTTTTTTTTAAGGTTATTGTCAAGAATCAGAGATTTTGTGTTAACATACATTAATTCAGTGTCAGTGAGTGGTAGTCTTCTAAATGTCTTTCTATCAAAGACAACTGAAGTTATACTATGCAAATCCTCCTTGAAGGCACTATGCTTTGCTTTCATAAAGCTTTCCAGCATTAAGCACTTCAAATCAATTGGAGGAATGAGAAAACAGACTACACTTCAGGAATTTGCAAGTCCAGAAAGACGTAGATGCGTTTCAGCTCACACCACCACGCATGCTTAACCTGCATGATGCAATATAATTTCTTCAGTTGTAAGGTCTGGAGAAGAATAAAAGCTTCGAGTCTTCCTTCCCCAAAAGGCACAGATACTTGACATAGGTTCTCTGAACAACAGTCTAACTCAGACCCACTCCCTCTCCAATACTACTCTACTCCTCATTTCCCTGCTCTCTTCCACTCCACAGAGTGTTAAATTCAATGTAGCATAATTTTCCTAGGTGGGCAAGGTGTAAGTTTGGGATGAGAAGGGAGCAGATAAAAACTGGACTTCTGAATGTCATCTGGAAAAAACACTGCATTGCAGAACCACTCCTCTTCTCCAAGAATTCCCTGGTATCATCATCCATCAGTTTACCTTTAGATTAAATGTTTCTCCATATCTGAAAAGCAGGTGCTCATGCTTCTTAAGAAACTGACTCAGTTTGCCTATGCTGACAAACATATGCAGCATGCTGTTTTCCCTTTTTTGCTGATACCAAGGTTTCTGAGCTAGGAAAGAAGTTTCCAAATCCAATGTTAAAAGCATTGGCTACACCTGCTATGACTACATGCACCAAAGCATATTAGTTCATTCATATTTTGAATTTACACGACTTTTAGTACTTGCTCAGGTGCAAAGCCAACAACTTTGTGGCACAGAGTCCTTAGGACTTTGATGTAAGGGTTAATGAAAGCCTTTCTCAGAATTCTTGCTCCTGCACGACATCAGGAGAACTCCAAGTCAACCACCATCATTTATTTAGTAAAGCCAGACACCAACAGCCTTCAGGCACACAGGATAATACCAAAGCCTCAAACTGAAAAAGGATACAAAGGCTCCAATGATGAAAACTGGGCTGAATATGTGTTTCTGGAAAGTAAACAGTGCCAAACCCATATAAGAAAATATGAAGTTCTCAGCCAGGAAGTGCAATACCTCAAATAGCTAAGGGGAAAAACACAGACAAGAACATATTAAAGGCCAAGCAATAAAGACACTTTTCAAAAGAAAGAAAGAAAAAAAAAAAAAAGAGTACACAATTCTAGAGCAATAGAATGTACAAGAGGAAAAAGAATCTTGCCTGCTTGGTGCGACTTCTTGATTCGACTGACAAGTTATTGTATGTATAATGTGCCTGGGTAATTCCACAAAACAGGACAGCCACCACACCTGTGAACAGAATTACAGGTAAGTATCAGTGTTTCCTACATAAACACAAGACTTCTCCCTTTTCAAGTTCTATTAAACTTAAACAACATCCTTAACCCTGGGATTTTATGAAACTCATTTTCAAGTCAAGGATTAGGCAAGGCACAGGGGGGCAGAAGCATTGGAAACAAATCCAAGCTGTTCCTAAAAGCTTTTGCCGCACAGTGAGTTGCTCCATCAGTGGTATTGTGCAGGAAATAAATATATATATATATAACTGCTAAAATCGTGTTCCTTATAGGAAGGTTTAAATGAGAAAGTGGAAACATGGTAGCTTAGACAGACAGGACTTCTCTTAGTGTACTCGAAGCCACAACTCACCGGTAAATCCACAAGCTTCTGCTAGCAGGAAGGTGCTCCAGGACATCAAGAAGAAGAGAGCCGTTTCCAGCAGGGGGAAGCAGTGCAACTTGGTAAACTTCGTCACGTTGAGTCATTTGTTAAGGGATCAAGAATAAGAAACTCACCAGTCCTTTGGCTTCTCTGTACCCAATATTTGTGAAAAGAGCTATTACATGCTAACAACCAATGCTACTCTGAGAACAAAACACTTTTTGCTGAAAAACATCAATTCCATCACATGCAGACAAACTTCAGAATCAAGGTCTCCCCTTACAAGCCATCAATTTTAGGTATTTGTGCTGCATATCCACAGCATAACTACAGCTCCACCTGCGTGAACTAAGAGCTTATTCAATACCATGTTTCCCTGCAAAGCACCAGCAGGGAAGGCATGTGTACTTGGTGTTCCTTTTACTGTTCTTTCATTTTATTTTTAAATAAACACATGTACACAGGTCACCTTTAAATAAGTCATAAAATACATTCAGAAGTGCTTCATTACAGGGCTGTTCTTGACTACAGGAATCCTAGGATGAAGTAGATCTGTCAGAATTTTTCTGCTCAGATTTGTTGAAAAGGTCTTTCAGCAAGTTGGGCTACTTGTGTACTTTTGAGGCAAAGCAGATATCCTGCCTACAACAAAATGCATTGCTTCTTGTGTTAATGTGCTTTAGAGGACAAGCCAGCTCAACCACAGCAGCTCAGCCCTTCAATGGGAGTAAGTTTTATCTTCCAGATGAGAGCAAAACTTGAATAATGTCAAACACACAGTGAATTAACAGTTCAGATAGCTACTGAAATAGTGGGACAGATTTCAGTAGTCTTAAACATAGCTTTCTACATAATACAGAATGTTTGTTCACCTGTCTATGGACCTTTTTACCCTACAAGCACTACTCTGGCAGCACACAAACATGTTACAGAGAGAAACCATGTGCTAGTAAGAGTGGTGGAGAAGTCCTTGTTCTGACAACCAGCAGTCGTCTCTGAAATCCAAGCAGAAGGAGAACACGAGAACAGTAAGGACACCTGAAACAGCAACAAGGTGGTAGCACTCCCTGCCCCTGTGTAGGAAGCCAGTACCTTGACAGACACAGAGAGGCTGCACCACCACCCACCGCTCCTCTTCATGCACAGCACAGCTGCAGCCAGGGCTCTGCAGCATTACACAACCAAAACCTAATGGCAACCCAGCTGCTTGAGAAGTCACAGTTCAATATGTGATGGGGATGTTAAACGCAAGGAGGAGCACCCCTTTCACAAGGCAATTCACAGGCTGTGGGAGGTGTGGGGCTCAGCACTCCTTGTGACTCTGGCAAGAAGCACTCAGTTGGCCTGGAAAACCCAGTGGAAGCAGTCTCCTGCGGGCTTCACCACAGAATACAGAGTTCACAGCAAGCCACAAGTGATTAACACCAGCAGCAAAACAGCTGACAGCATTTCAGGGGAAGTCTGGTTAGCACAAAGCACTGCTGAGCCCAGCTACCTGCTCCCCACCCATGCCACTACTTCTTGGTGGCCTTCTGAAGCTAGGAGAGAGCCCTCATCGGAGCTGATGCCTCATTTCTAGTCTCTTCTGGCAGCTTTGGGAATCAAACTCTATTCCCCTGGTTGTTATGCTGTAAGTAAGTAAACTAAAACATTTTAGAAGGCCAAAAGTCAGCATATATTATCTGTATCATATTTGCAAACCAAGTGTTCTGCCTGCTTTCAAAGGACAATGCAGGACCACAGGAACCCCCTTTGCTGGTACAGGTACAGCTGTAGGTACTCCACAGCTGTGGCAGCACTACAAAACATTGGGAATCAGGTCCTATTAACTTCACTCACGGCTTAAGTTATGGGCTCTAATTAGCTGAGAGTAGTAAAATGCGCTTTTACAGTTTGCTTGTAGAGTATTACAAGATGTTAAGTATTCCTTCGCCAAAAATAGTTTAAATGGTATAATTAGAGCAAAAGTTTATGTATTTTTATGTATTTATTTTTAAACCGGAGGCTGTCTTGTGAACAGTTTTATAGCACTGTCCTGAACACAAGCATTACAAACAGCAAGAACCAACTGCTGCTTTTAGACCATGATTTTACAAAATGGATCCGAATGTATCCAGGCTGTAATTAGAAGCTAGCCAGAAAGCCAAAAACCACAGCAACAGCACTCGATCGGCTAGAGCTATAGATGGCTGGTAGCTTAAAAGCCAGGCTAAGAATCATCATTCTGGGTCACATCGATTGCAGAACAGCGGAGCTTGAAGACCAAATGTTAAAGCATCGCAGCACACCTTCCCCCCATATCTGAAGGGTTTCCATTATGCAGGATACAAAGAGGCAAACCTGAGCAGTGTATATATAACAAGATACAGTTCAGACATTATTGGTGAAGATCAAGAGTCACAGGTTCATGATTATTGTAAAAAATATCACATTCTACCAGTTTTCAGAAGTCTAGGCAGATCACAGCAAGCTGGGATGTGTAAAAGTATCATTATCCTAGCCAGCCCAAAAGCAGAGTTTGATTTTTTTTTTTTCCCTTTCCTGGGGAAACATCACAATTTCTGGTGCAGATCAGACTTCAGATTTATTGCCCAAGCCTAAAGCAAAACCCACACAGATTGCTCCCTGAGTGCCTCAGAGCTCTCATCAAACAGACAAAGCTTCAAGAGAGCAGGACAGGTCAAGCAAAGCACGTAATGTTATGATGTTAACTCTGGTAGAGATACTCTTATCCAAGCCGCATGATACAAGATTTCCAGCAGAAAGGTTAAATGCAGAACTCAGAAAGAACCCATTAGGGTCAGAAATAGCTATTAAGGATTTTGCTGAAGAAGAGCAAAACACCAGTTATCCTATGAGATGTCTTTCAAGCCTATATAATAAAAACTTTTTTATAATTCCTAAAAAGAAACTGAACATTAGGACGTGTCTATTTAGGGCTCCCCCTTGGCTTTAAATCTTTTGGCAGTGCAATGCACGCAGCAACATCACTAAAACTTCTGGCGTGGCCACAGTTACACCAGAAAAAAGGGATTTCTGTGGATACCTATATGCCTTTCTATAGGCAGAGGTCACACGAATGCTGGTCACGTCTTCACAATCAGATTAAAACCAGCTTGAGTCACCATTGCTACTGCTGGAAATAGGTGAGCTCCATTAGCACATGAATGTAGCATCTTATCTGGAAAAGCTAAACATGAAAAAGGATATCAGAGCTGTCACTACTCCTGTCACTGCTCCCATCATGAAAGAACCACTGAATATTCCCAGGAAAACACCAACCGACTTGAAAAATGCTGCTGCATCAAAAGCATGGGTATTTTCACCTGTTGGCTGGTAGGCAACTATCGATCTAGGAACAGAGTTAACACAGTGACAAGTTAGATGTGGCATCAGGAAGGCTTTACTCCAACAGCATCACCTGAACAGCAGAAAAGTCAAACCCATCCTGAAGGCAAACTTTTATTTCTGGTGCTTCTTATGCATAAGATATCTTGGCAAATGCTTGTAATATTTACAAATTCAGCTCAAGATGATCCACTTAAATTTAAAATAGCATATCTAAAATAAATGCTTTTTCTGAGAAAAATACCTAAAACGATTAAGTAATTTCAGAACAGAATTTCAGGTAATTACTTACGAAGATAATACAATGGCAACAGCGTCATTCAACACGCTCTCCCCAAACAGAAGGGCATAGAGATCAACATCAGCATGCAGCTCATTAAATATTGCTAGCACGGTAACTACAGAAAGAGGGAAAAAAAAAAGAAAAGACTAGCTGACTTCAAGAAAAACTGTGAGTTGTGACATAGTAGACTTTCCAGTTTGCCTTAAGCAACAAAACCCAAAATTGAAGTACAGGCTCAAAATGAAACTGGGAAATAGACCAGCCACATTTATCTACAGGTAAGCAGCTTCACCATCAGTTTTAAGGCAGCTCGATTAGGAAGGGGGCTCTGCAGTCCTGTCTGCAAAGTCCCCCATGATCACAGGGCACAGTGCAAATGAAACTTCTACCAAAAAAAAAAACCACCACCAACAACAACAAAAAAAAACACCTTCAGCACCTAAACACGTTCAGCACCTTCAGCAAAACATTCTGCAGCCCTTGCTACTTTTAAAGGCTGCATGGCTTGTTGACATGGCTTTATTAGTTCAGTCATAGTGCTAATAGCTGTAAGTGTTCCCCAAAGCACGCACTATGCCACAGCAGTGTAAAATTGTGTAAGATTAGACATATTTAGCAGTCTTGCCCATTTCAATCAGTGTTTTCACAAACACTTCAGTCTGGCATGAGAGAATGATTCTGAAGATGTTCCCATATATCAGCTTCAAAAAAATCAGATGGTACTTCTTTTTTGCATAAAGGCCAAAATCATGTGCAACCACGAGCTGTTCAGAGCTCAGCTCAATCACAGGAGCTACTTCCCATTTTTACACCAACTAACACATGCGACATCACACAATCTGTTTTAAACATCAGGCTTCACACTTCAACACTCCCTCCCCTAGCCCTTCACGCACACCAGCTCTCCAGGCTCACCTGTCAAGCGTGGACACCTTTGTGAATATGCTGGACTTCCAAGGAATGACTAAATTTTTTTGCCAAAAGATAATCTGCAGAAGAGCATTCTTCTGCTTGAATTTGTATAGCATCATTGGAATGAGAAAAAAACACAAAACCTACTCAAATTCAGCCCTTAAAATATCCTTTGTCCCAAGCAACATAGCTACGGAAGTCCTACTATCCACACAGTATAATAATTTCATTAATTTTCAGCCTTAAATTTGAGGTACACTAAACAAAAATCTATTAGGGAAAAATATTTAAAATAACATAATGAACAGGAAAGTTTGATTTGTCCCCAAACATATTATCACGTCAACAGACTGACAGAACAGCTTTCACAGCACCCAGCATTTGTATCCATTTCACAGAAAATCAGAGATACTAGCACAACATCACTGAAAATAAAATGCAATTAATATCTTTGTGCTGTACAGCCAACAATCCTAGCAACAGGATCTTCTAAGAAGATTATTAAAAGTTATTTAGCAAGCTACCTGGATCAGTGGCAGATATTATTGCTCCAAAGAGGAGGCAGTCTGTATAATAGAATTTACCAGAGAGCTGTCCCACCAACTTCATTAGTTTCACAACCCCATACATGAGATTCCTGTAGAGAGAGGATAAAACAGTCCAAGTCAAACAAGCTGGCACATTTCAGACAGGCAAAGCAAAACCACAAGCAACAGTATTTCAGGTGGGCTTTGTTATTCTATTTTCCATGAAACACTGCTGCAGTTTAACACTATGCTCTCAAAATTAAGTTCCCTCTCTTTCTGAGCAAACTGAGCAAAGAGTGAGATATGATCCAACATTTAACAGTTAAAATCAGCAAACAACAGAAGATCTGTTCATACAACTAGCACAAACTCCACAGGCTGCTTCCTTTTTCCACCGCAGGGAACATTTCTGTGCTCAGAATTCCCCTCAGTGTTGGTTCTGCCACAGTACACAAAGATACAGAAAAAGCTCTGAACTAAGAATAGCTTTTAACATATTTCTCTTTGGTGAAATTGAGAGACAGGAACCAAAGTCACATATGCAACTCTGTATTTCTCTCTCTGCAATTTCTGTATTTCAGAACACCCAAGAACACAGCAATACTAGTGCGTAAGTGATCGTATGCAAGTAAACCAATGTGATTATCTTTAACCAAATGTGTACATATACATATAAAATTATGCATACACATCCGTTGGGGGTGAAGGGGGAGAGAGTGTGCATGCACAGTGGAAGGAACATCTCTAGAAGTAATGAATTTTAGCTATCAGACAAGTAGTGCCTACAACTCAGGATAAAGTTAATTCTAATAGGAGTCTAACAAGCTTTCACTTTGTACTGTAACGTGACATTAAAAGCAGAATGCTGCTCTCTATTGTAAATATTGATGCCAATTGACCTTGACAATATTGTTTGGAGGGGCAGCATTGTTTAAAAACCAGATCTCAGCAGAAGTTTATTTTAATTCTGTCTGGAAGATTTGCAAATAAAAATCAAACAAATCACAAAATTAAGACAATCTAGATAGCTCAGTGTGAGCTTTTCAAATTTATCTTTAGTAAAAATAGCAACAGATAGTACAGATTTCACTTACCCAATGATAAAACAAGAGACTGCTGTTCCTAAGAAGGCATAGGCCAAAATTGACCCCAAATTCCTGAAAAAGTGTCTCTGCATAAGAAAACAGGTTTACATACGCATTTAAAGAAGTTATACCACTTGTTCAAAAACATACAGTGCATTATTACACCTGCCTTTATTGGTGCTTTCTAGAGAAATCATTTGATTACTGCAATGTAAGTTCTGTCCAACTTCAATAAATTGAATATATCAAATCTGAACCAAGTATTGATTCTTACATGGAGCTCACTGACAGGAAACTTTCCAATAATATTTTTATAACAAATATCTAGATATAAAATACAGATGTAAGACATAGCTATAATAATAAACACAAGCACCACTTGAAGATGTCATAACCCAGACTTTCCGTCACCCAGAATCTAGAACACCCCCACTGGGATTCAAGTTTGGGTCCACTTCTCAGGGTAATTTACTGCATTTTGGACATTAGAGAAGGACCAACATGACTCATAGCAGGACATCTACTTTAAATGTAACTGATATTAACCTCTGGTAATAGTCAAAGGAAAACAAATAAGCAATTTAATACGTTTGTCTCTTAAAACAGTATGACCTAACCATCTATGCAGGAAAACGGATTTTTCTTATTGTCACATGTGTTCCTGAACAAATCCTGATCCTAACCAGATCAGCAGTCTCTCATTAAGAAAAGGCTGTTTTCCTCAGGAAATGATTACACTTACTTTCTTCAGGCTATAACCAGCGTGAAAGATAATAGGAGGCAACAGAATGTTGAAAAAGACTTCCGGGTCAAATGTTACCTAAAAAAATTAAAGTGTGAAATGAATTAGAAACAAACACAAAAAAAAAATTAAGTCTTTTTCCTCTTTTATTTTTCTGACAAATATTTGTAGGTGTTGAAATAAACTTTTGGCCAAGTTGACCTTCCAAAATATTGGCCAGCTCTATATAGATGCAGCAGCAAAAAGCTGCAGCTATTCACATTGAAGGGCATCTAGGAAAATAAACATTGCATTCATCAGTAATGACACTCTTACAGTCCCCTTTTTGAATAAAAAATACTCTAATAGAAAGGATACTGGAGAAAGCATCTCTTATTGTGATACATGACAGTCACGTATTTGTACTTTCTGTTGTTGTGTATGTTCCTCTCCTCCCCCCCCGCCGGTCAAGTCATATACAAGTCTGGTTTTCAGGAACTGGGATCACTCATCACTTCCAAATATTTCAGTGGATACTGCAGATATCCATGGCAGACTGCACTAGACTAAGGAACTAACCCAAACATTTAGAATTAAAACAAGACCCTCACACATGAGGCAGTCTAGGCCCTCTTTATTTAGTATCTAAACACAGACTAGAATATAAACACAAGTGTGCACTCCCAGTACAGGATTCATTTCAGTTGTCTATAGCAGACAGGTACATATGAACAGTCACCTACATTCTCTTCATAGTCACAGAAAAGTATTTTTAGGTTACAGGCCTAAAGTGGCAACCCTATACCTCGAAGTCTAGCTTTGCTACACAGAAAGGGTGCTTAATTCCAGCTATTGAATAGAAGCAGTGACATAGCAGATGCAAGCAACAGCTGATAAGTGAATTTCATCTCCAACACCAGATTGTCTTGTTTGGTAGGTTGCAGGGATGTAAGCAGCAACTACTTCCTGAACATAAACAGAGTCGAAAACCCAAGGACAAAACAAAGAAACAATCACTATTCGTTGTCTGCCATATATTGTATTATAGAAGGCAGCATCAGAGATCAGAACGAAGGCCTTTTTTGCTCAGCTAGCTTTCATGAGTTGTACAGATGTTAGCAGTGTACATTAAGCCTCCAGCAGCAAGCAAGGGCTTCGGGGAAGAACTACATGCTGGCAGCAGAACACAGCTTTGCCAGCAGCGCTAGAGCACAGAAGGTGCTTTTGAATTCAGCATTGAAGTGTTGTTACCACCAGATATGCAGACATTTGAGAATACCTAACACCCAACTGGCAGGGGAAGGAGGGAGCTGCAGAAAAAAACCCCACACAGCCAAGCAGCACACACTCACAAGAAATGGCCTGGCCTCACCTTTCGCAACATGTCATTTTGCTCCACATTATGGATCTTCCCAGGGCTTATCTCCCCTTTGAGTGTATATTCGAAGAACTTCCCGCTGACATTGACCAGCAGGGTTGTAAACGGCCTGTCCTCCTGTGAGCAGCTGAAGGGTTTATCGTGGCCACTGGTAGAGGGAGTCCCGTACCTGAGGATCACCCCAACGATGAGTCCTGGAAGAAGAGAGTTAAAAATCCATGAGGCTGATGGATTTTCTTTACCTCTTCTTTACCTTGCTGCTGAGTTTTGAGTATCAGCTGAAGTATAAAGCAGGAATCTCACAAGCATCAGACACACAGCAGTGAATTGCTACTTTCAGTTTCCTGCAAAGGAAGAGGTGCCCCAAGCACACTGAAACTACTGATGAGTTTGTCAAATCTGGCTTCTGCCCAAAGTGACAAAAATACTCACTTCCAAGTCTCTTCTTCCTCACCCTCATTCACACCTCTGATGTGTAAACGCCGAGTTGTGCTTGAGGCCAAGCACTGGGACATAACAAATGGATTTCACCTTCTTACGGGCAGAACTGAGTAGATATACCACTGCTGATAACATGAGACCGTAACTTAACTGAAACCATTTGCTGTAAAATATTGGAACACAGCTGCAGTGAGGATGCAGCCTTTTTTTTTTGCCCGGCACTTCTAAGCCAGCTAACAACAGCAGATGCAGGATCTCCTGCATGCTTGTAAATTCTGCAGCTAAAATTCACATTACATGCATGAAAGTCAGCTGCATGTCTTTCACAAAATAAAAATAAATGGGAAAAAAACAACAAGCAATCACAGGAGACACGATGAGATTCATGAATCTAAGAGTCACTCAGCCCAAATAAAATCCTACCAGAAAACTTTACCAACAAGAGATGTATCAGCATGAGGAAAAAATAACAAAGGTAACCTAACAGAAGGACAATGCCAGAAATCTGGGGAAGTACAACATTTAACTGAGCACCATTCCTTTTTAAAGGTACTACGGAATGAACGAGACTCCACAGAAAGGTGGATAAGAATAGTCAGAGTGGCTTTGGTCTGCTAAGTATACAGATTGATGCCCTCTGAAAGTCTCCCCGCCACGCCACCTTAAAACAACCTGTGATTTAATCCTTGTTGCAGACAGCTGCAAGGTGATGATGGGTATTTGTCAGTAGAGAAATGATCCTTTTGTGGACAGGGCAGTAGTTAATGCTGGCTTTGCTGTCTGTGACCAATCTGCACCCATAGATTTTTTTCCGCCCAGATGGTAAATAAAGTTGACAGGTATTAGCCAGAGCATAAATGAGGTGTAACAAGAAAAAAATACACAGCACCAAAAAAAACTTATCCTTATGGCACGGATTAAAGAGTAATCAAACTGTAAGAAAACAAATAAAAAAAATAGAACAACCTCCAACCAAAATAAGCCTCCTCATTCTCCTCAGGTTCAGAGTGGAAAAATAGTATTAATGGAAAAGGAGGTACAACAACAGCTGTGACACTCGAGTGGGCGGCTACCCACGTGTCCCCCTTCTCTGCCATCAGTACGCCATAACGGCAGCATGATCACTAAAACCTAATTGAAAGCTTAGCATTTATTTCGTTTAGAAACAAGATGTGTATGCTCAAAGAGAACACACGGGACAAAGACTTGGGCAAGACAAGCCTACCTTCTGAAATTTCAGCTGCTGACGACTGAAATGCAGAGTTACGGAGCATGCTTCCTCATGACCCCCGAGTATTTTTCAGCTGCACATAATGGATGTGATGAAAACGCAGCTATGCACAAAGTGACAGGCTACAGCCAGCCAGCTCCCAGCCATTTGCACTGCCAGTGATGGCTACAGACGCTTTCTACAAACCCAACCAGCCAAACTCCCAAAACTTTATGCTGTTTTCACTCTCCTCGTCCCTAGACAGAGAGAACTGAGCTCACACAATACCCCCAGAAGGCTTTCAGTCTTAAATATTGATCTAACCAGGATCAGCCAAAACCCTGTAGTAAATCAGGAGCAAGAATAAAAACTCTACAGATCAGCTTGTACTCATAGCAGTGGCACAAAACCAGCTCCATACTACTGCTAGGCTGACATAATAGCTTCTTAGGCTCAGAGAGCATCATTCAGTGAATTCATTTCAAAAGCAAATAGGGAAACCTTTGTTGCTATTGTATTAGGAGGATGCACCAGAGGGAGCAGGATGTGATTCTATTACAGAACTGGATGTAAGCCACTCATACATTTTCCCCTGTAATAAAATACATCGGTTATTTTAAATCTGGTTTTGAAGATATGACAATTATAGCTGTAACTTGTACTCACTGTTTGAGGTTAAACATACTTTAACCCTCAGCGTCCCACAGTCCAACTACCGGGAAATATCCTGCTTTCATACACTTTCCACTGACAAAACACCAAGCTGGATGACCCTCACACCCAGGACCATGCAGTTTGGGAAGCTCTGATCCCTGCTGTCAGGCTGTCTTGCAGCTCTATCCCCAGCAACCTTGGGAAAACCATCACCAGCAGGATGCAGCCTTACCTACTCATCCCCCCAAGGTCCCAAACAACTGAAGACCTAAGCAGCTTTCAGGCAGACCAAACAGCCCAATTTACAGCTTCACAAGTGATGCCTTTCTAAGCTGCCCGTCATCGCATGTTACAGAGGGAGCGAGTTCATCCTTTACGAACTCTCTCTAGATACTTGACTTCAACCATTTCCAGAGCAACAGTCACGGCTGCAGAAAAAGGCTGTAAAAGAAAGAGACTTGGAGCTGCTCAATGGCCAGGCTTAGTGGGATACTCCAGACTTACTTTAGCAGCAATTGCTAGGACGCTAATACAAGCACAAATTTGGTACAGCACTACTGCTCATCTGGAGGCAAGAGGAGGGATGCGGCGAGGAATAACGCAGTCCCCATGCTACTTTCATCCTGCACAGGTTCACTGACGAAGAGTTTATAGAGAACTTGGATCAATGGAGCAAATATTTGTCTGAACACTTGAGCATTTTAGCTCTTTAAAAAGAAACCTCAAGGGCCACTAAACCAGCGCTGCCTTTTACTGCAAGGCTGTCACAAGAGAGAGCTAGAAGTGAACTATAAACACTGCAAAACTTTAGAAGAGCCTTTCTTTCAAAATTTGTTTGTGGTAATGGTTGTAGATTTACATCACTGCTCATAAGGACTCAGGAAAGATAAATTCAAAAATTAATACTTTATGTCTTGCCTACGCATGACTTGTGCTCTCACTTCTAGCAGAGAAAGCATTTCTGCCACTGCGCTGCCTGTACAATGCCAGTCATGCAGCTGCTACACAAAGAGCATCTTACTGCACATAAAGCATTAAAAAGCTAGGGACTTCTTTCCTTTTTTAAAAAAAAGCAATCTCTAGTGATGATAAAAACTTCACAGGCAGTTAACACCAATCCAACAAAACACCACTTTAAGCAGCGTATTTACTTTTGCTTTTGTTTGAGCACAGAAATCACTGCTGTGAGACTGAGCTCAGGCAGGCACAACCACTAACTAACGCCTGTCCCACGTCAGGGCTGAGTGTCGTGTGGTTTTCCAGCCAAGTTCTCTTCTAGAAGAATTAGCCCTGAGGTTTCAGGGAGCCTTCCTGTGGCCGATCCACACTGCAAGACACAGCTCAGTCAGTGAATTCAGACTGTGAATCTGAACTTGATCAGTGGGTGAACTCAAACCTGTAGATATCTTTTCTTCTGTCCACTCCTAGCAGAGAGCTGGGCACAGACTGCTGAGGCACTGCCCTTGCGGAGTACAACTTGCACTAACAGCATTGCAGCAGGAAGGAGACTCGGTGGAGGCCTTACTGCTGTTTACAGCTACCTACTGGGAAGACGGAGAATAAAGAGACTTCTCTGAAAAGTACGTGGTGATTAGGTCTAAAAGCAACAAAGGCACTGCAACACACACAAAATTTAAGAAAAAGCTACCACACAGCAAAGTGGATAAGCACCAGGACTGGCTGCATAATCTCCATCCTTGCATACAGTCAAAACTCACATGAACGTGGCCCTGCAGCCTGCTCTGAGCAGAGGGCTGGATGAGGCCACCTCCACAGGTCCTTCCACCTGGATTAATTCTGCAATTCAGACTCTTTCCTGCAAATATTTGGACCCTCCAGACAAGTACTTTACATTGCAAAGGTTTCTTTAAAAGCAACTTTGCTGTTTCCTTGGTCAACCTTGGGGATTTCTGTGGCTTTGGAGCTTTGTTTAAATGAGACAGTGCTGCTGGTGCACAGCCCGAGAGGCACAGAACAGTTTCTGGATACTTGCGGGGCTCTGGCCTCCCAGTGGTCCAAGGTGATGGCAAGTGAAATATTTTTTTCTCTCCCCAAAAGCAAGTAAATAGAACAGGATTTTGTAACATTTGAGATCCTAGATTTTTCCTACATACACCCAAACTGAACTTTTTACCAACTTGTGGACCAAAAAACAAAAGATAAAAAAAACAGCAAGACTGACGAGAGAAAGCCCTGCTCAAATATTTTCAAGGCAGAAGACTAATAATAATACACAGTATTTATCACACAGCTTATTTTACTATAGGATGTTTGTGTGCATTGAGATGCCACAGTTTTAAAAAAACAGGAAGTGTTTTTCTTAACACAGGGTCAGCCTCTGAACGTGACAGCCCACACCTTCACCTTTCAGTGATTTATCATCAGGAAGTTTCAACACTTCTTACAAAGGAAAGAATTCAAGTATTGTTTCTGACCCAGAACTGAGCCAGCAGTGCTGCACCTAAAATAATCAGATCAGATGTTAGGTCCCACCTGCAGACCAGATTGCAACACGCTCTCTCTGTACCGAGCGCTTGCCACTTGCTGTCCTTTCCACGTACTGCAGTACAACTTCTCCAAGAAGGTGAGGTGCAAGCCAGACATCGCTGAGCTTCAGCCCTCTCTTAGGGTCTTGCACTCAGCACCACCTACCATTAATTACTTTCCTAAGGGTGCAATGCTTCCAGCACAGGATTCATCAGCTCGTCACATCTCTGCAAAAGATGGAGACTTGTTTTGAAAATAATCCTCGTCTTTGGCAGTTTAGGTTCAGCAGCATAACTACAGGACGAGCCCTCACCACGTTTCAGTGAAAGAGCATTTTTTTTCCGAGGGGAAATGGAGGCAGGCGGTGCCAAGTCTTAAGTCTGAAGGAAACTTTGGGGATAT